TGTTTACCAACAGCTTACGAACTTTCTCCAAATGAACAACTCCTTTGATGTTTTCCAGTCAGGTTTTAGAGCTCACCACAGCACTGAGACTGCTCTTATCAAGGTGACAAATGACATCCGCCTGAACACTGATGCAGGCAAAGTCTCAGTCTTGATCCTGTTAGATCTGAGTGCTGCTTTTGACACTGTCGATCATGGGATCCTCTTACAGAGACTAGAGGACTGGGTGGGCATTTCTGGTACTGTACTAAACTGGTTCAAATCCTATCTAGAAGACAGGAAGTATTTTGTTGAAATTGGAAACTGTGTCTCAGATAACATGGCCCTGACCTGTGGGGTGCCTCAGGGGTCAATCCTGGGCCCCCTGTTGTTCAATCTCTACATGCTGCCATTAGGCCAGTTAATAAGCAGCAATAACGTGTCGTACCACAATTATGCAGATGACACTCAGATCTACGTCTCTCTGGCAGCAGGAGACTATGGACCAGTGGAGTCACTTGGTCACTGCATCCAACAGATCAGTGTGTGGATGCAAAACAACTTTCTCCAGCTAAACTCTGACAAGACTGAAGTCATAGTGTTTGGTCCACAGAAACAAAGGGACAGTGTCAGCAGTCACCTCCAGTCTCTCGCTCTAAAACCTTCAAATCAGGCAAGAAATCTAGGGGTAATAATGGACTCAGACTTGAACTTTAACAGTCACATAAAATCAATAACATCTGCCGCCTTTTACCATCTAAAAAACATAGCAAAAATCAAAGGTTTACTGTCTAAATCAGACTTGGAGAAACTTATCCATGCGTTTGTCTCCAGTAGGTTAGACTACTGTAATGGTCTGCTCACTGGTCTCTCCAAACGAGCTGTGAGACAGCTGCAGAACATCCAGAACGCTGCAGCTCGGGTCCTTACTCGAACTAGGAAGTACGAGCACATAAGTCCTGTGCTCAGGTCTCTGCACTGGCTTCCTGTGCCTCAGAGAGAATAGACTTTAAAGCAGCTCTGCTTGTGTACAAGTCTCTCCATGGCCGAGCACCAAAGTACATCTGTGACATGTTAGTGTCATATGAACCATCTCGCACTCTGAGGACCTCAGGGACCGGCCTCCTGCTGGTGCCCAGAGTCAGGACTAAACAAGGGGAGTCAGCGTTCAGGTTCATGCAGCTAAAACCTGGAACAGTCTTCCTGAACATGTGAGACAGACTCTTCTGTGACGCTGTTTAAATCCAGACTCAAAACATTTCTGTTTGACTGTGCATATAACTGAAAGGTTTTCATTCCGCACTCTTCTCTCCAATTTATGTCTCTCTTTTTTAATTTTAATCTTCATGATTATTTATGTTTTGATTTGTTTTTATTATGATTTTAATGTATTTCTTATTCTGTAAAGCACTTTGAATTACTTTGTGTACGAATTGTGCTATACAAATAAACTTGCCCTGCCCTGCCCTTGCCCTCTTTACATCATATTTACATACAGTAGATTGGCCTAATGGCATTTTTGCATCACATTCTAGCTACTAGTGATGGGTATTCCAGTTTTTTTTTTTGGAAAACCAGCTCTTTTGGCTCGGCTCACTAAAGCAGCTGGCTCTTTCAGCTCCCAAGCGACTCTTGAGATTGTTTTGTTGCAAGCAGGACTAAACCAGAACTGAACCAGTACTGAAAAAGGACTAAACCAGGACTAAAACAGATTTAAACCATGTGTGAAACAGGACTAAATCAGAACTTAACCAGGTCTGAGTGTCGGGACTCGGTTTCTATCTCTCTCCTTCACTCGAGCCCAAGATTAGTCCTGGTTTATTCATTTTATGCTGAACTGCAGCCAAATATGCACTTTTATTTTTTTTATCCTATGCACACGCAGATTTCTGAAAGTTTCGTTTTCAGCCGCTGCTGCTGTCAAACTACGGGTCTACATGCGGCATGAAGAGAAAAAGTGAGAAAAAGAGAAAACACGGCTCCCAATGAGAAATATGCTCCCATTGTTCGCTCTAAGAGCCGCTTCGATCGCGACCGACCCATCACTACTAGCTAGTAAATAAACTACCGCTATTAGCCTTTAGCCGTGCGCGCCGCGGTAATAAATTATATGCATAAATGTGGATCATTCACACGTCTATTCACAGCTCATTTACATATCAATGCAGGTTCAGTAACAAATTTACGGCCAATATAGTCACTTTACAATAGACCAATAGAAAACAGCCTGTTTATGTGCGGGAGCTACAGCAGCTAATCGCTAACAAAACCTAAACTAGCTTCAAAGTCGATGTATTTCTAACACTCACCACTCACACAGGCTCCTCCTCACATCACAAGTCAGCACTAATAAATGTCCTTTTAATCCAGACTCAAACCGATTGTCCGTAAAAAGAAAATAATCTCAGTGTTGCGCACCGCTGCGGGTGTAAACAAACACACGTGAGTGAAGTGACGTCACTCTGGGGGTGTGTTCAGGAACAGTACGGACACAGACACAGACAAATTAAACCGCAGATAAATACTGATGCGGAGCCACATATGATGACATTTATCTGTGTGTAAATTGGATTAAATGAACATAATGTAGAGAGTCTAAGCTTTATAACGAGGTATAACATGCCCACGTGAAATATCGGCCCATATCAGCGAGCATATCGGCCGATAGCCGATATGTCTCCAGGTGCCCATATTGGCCAATAATATCGGCCAGCCGATATATCGGTCGGGCTCTAGTTATTATGCATGCTTTTTTTTTTTTGCACTTAAAGTGTTGAAGTGTCATGTGGCGCCCTAAAACTGCTGATATTTAAACTTCAAATCTTATCAAATTTATTTTCTTTCTTTTTCTGGCATATTTTCTGAAGTGTTTTGTAGTCCCACATGAAAATTCTGCTTTCTTACACTTCATATTAATCAGAATTGATATTAATATCCCAACCATGGTTTAGAAAATAAAACAATTTTAAGGTAATATAAATGTTAAACATAGATTTATGCGTATCTGACTTTGAAAATATTTGAAAAAAATTCAATAGAAACTAATTTTTTTTATATTTTAAAATTTGCTTGTTGAAAATCCTTATACGTCACTGACCCCTAAACATAAACCATTATCCATTTATTAGTGCACAAAATTAAGCATTAAAACAATACATGTACAATGGTAATAATGGGCATTTAATTGATTATATATATTTTTTTTCAGCATAATACGTGTAATTCAGAAATCAGAAATCCCTTGGTGAGCTACTTGGAAGTGGGCAGAGAGCTACCGGTTGCTCCCGAGTTACAGGTTGGAGACTCCTGGTTTAAACTATACTTTGGAACATTCATAAAAAATGTTATGCCATACTGTAGAATATTACACAGGAATAACATTTCCATAGAAACTAGCAGGTGTAGACCCTCCTCCAGGCAAAGTAAGAGTCACGTTTGTGGAGATGCAAGCTCAGTCTGAATACTGACCAGCAAACTCAACAAACTTGCCAGCAAACTGAAAAACCATGCATGCATTTTTGGCTAAAAAGTTACAAACTGTAGCTTCAATTTGAAGTTCAAACTAAATTTCAATCACAGCCACACAAATCTCAGCCATATGAAGTACTACGCAACAAAACACACAGTCAATAAACTTACTGAATACAAATCGCCCAAATTGCCCAAAGTCAAACTCACCGAGACACAGGAGCACAGCCACAAACACTCCCATGGTTGTGTTCCCTTTTTTAGAGATGTCTTTTAACATATTCCCAAAACAGGAACTTTAATTGTTGCAATCCTAAAAAGTCCGAACTGCGTGTGGTTTTATACTAAGCAACAGGAAAATGTAGTAAACAAAGCCATTATTTGGAAATGACCTAAATACCTACTGTAATATTTTAACAATAATAAAAACAACATTAAATTCAGCACTATCAAAATATCACTTGAGAACAAAGTAAAATAATTAAAAATTTAAATTAAAAGAGGGACTGTTTTCAATTTACTGTATTTTCTGGACTATAAGTCACACTGGACTATAAGTCGCACTTTTTGGGGAAATGTATTTTATAAAAACAGAGACCAGGAACAGACATTTCATCTTGAAAGTTAAGTTATAGTAAAAACACTAGAACAGAGAACAACAGACTGAACAGGCATTTATATGTTAACATAACATATTAACAGTTATTCAGATAATTGCAGCATAAACAACAGAACACAAGTTTACCAAACTCTCCATCTCACTCCAAATCACTAAATCCACTGAATTCTTCATCCTCGGTGTCACTTCTGCACGACCTCCGGAGATAAACCGTGGAGCCATGATGTAAACGGAGCGCCGCTTCCTCTTCTGTGTAGCTGTCGTCAGACTCAACATCAGTTCCAGTTAGAATTATTCCGGCCTTTCTGAATCCCAACAGGATGGTTTCGGTGTCACTGAAGTTCAGGCTTTGTCGATTCATCCAGTGACTTTCAGGAAAGTTGCCTGTTGCACCCTCCCGGGTTACCATGAAGTTGTGTTCTCCATTCCCGCTTTCCACCAGTCCCTCACAAGTTTCTCTCTCACTCCAAACTTTCTTTTTGCTGCACGATTACCGTTTTCGGCTGAATATTTCACTATCTGCAGCAGGACAGCAGCTTTTTCTACAGTAGACATGCGCAGTAGAGTGCGAAGTGACAGTGGTACAGGAGTAATAGTAGTACTAGATACTGACACATAAGACTAGAGCGTATCGCAGCTGTCAGTGTGAACATTTTAATCTATAAGTCGCACCGGAGTATAAGTCGCAGGAAACACCCAAACCATGAAAAAAGTGCGACTTAAAAAAATACAGTACTTGAAACTAGTGGGGAGTGCAGCAGTAGCAGCACCTCCTCTATAGAGAAAAGTACTTTTTATGATTTCACTTCTCGGTTTAGGGACAGTCAGCTGGTAACTTGGCAAGTTTGCAGTTGGTGTGTATGAGTCTAACAAAAACCCCAACGGACATTTTGCAGTTTGTCCTCCACCATTGATTAAAACAGTTTACAGTGCATCCGATATCAGACAAACTTTATTGACCCACAAAGAAAATGATTTGTCCAGAGTAGCTCACACATCAAAATAGAATATAATAACAAAGAGAAAAAACATAAATGGTAACAATACATTCAAAACAAGTAGTAAAAATAACAAGAGACTGGTGTCAATGAGTGCGTATACATGTACATCAGTATCCCGGTTATGATCAGGTTTTTTGAGTATCCATGTTTCTTCATGGTGCATGTATATGCAGTATGCCGGTTTCAGTATCCCAGTTATTGGAAACTGGAATAATGTAGCTGGTATATTCTGAGAGTAACTGTGATACTGTGGCATGTAAACGCAGTATCCCGGTTACTGCAACATAAAGTTGACTGCGCATGCGTCCAAAAGACAAACACTTTCCAGTCTTTTCACCACAACAGTAGCAACATAAATAAAGTGACCGACATAAATAAAGTGACCACACGAGTGAAATGACTGCGCTAAACCTGCACACAAATCTGCACTTGTATGATCGCTGAAAAACTAAAACATGAACTATCTCCTTTAAGATATACACACAGAACAGACTCACCATCATCAGCACATCCTCTGTCACAAAAAAAAACAAACACGCATATTCCACTGAGTTGTGTCCGACAGAACCTGAATCGCATCAGCGGCACAAGGAGCGAGCTGTTTTTATCAGCTCTAAGTTTATGCAAATTAGCCATGCGGTTTTAAGTTTTGTTTCTGTAGAATGTAAACAAATGTGTCAAAGCTGAATTATATGATCAAACGGGCACTACAGTGGTTATGGTTTATATGTTGTAAAGTTGAGTTTATTTATGCAGAAGATTTTAATGAAGAATCTGTTGGGTTTGATGTGTGCAGTGGACTGTGCGATACCTCATAGCTCCTCACCACTGGTTAAACCTCCCAAGCTTCCTCTGCTAAAGGAGCTCATGGTTTGTATTTTTCCTGGTTTATTAAATTAAATGAAGTTAAATTTTGCGTTTGCGTATTTGTAAGATTATGGCAAGAATCTGGGATACTGCATTTGATCACGTACACAGAGATATGAGTGTCCCGGTTTCTCAGCGTGCATGTAAACGCAGTAACCCGAATACTGACATAACCGGGATATGGATAATAACCGGGACACTGATGTGCATGTATATGCACTTAATAAGGCATAATGATATAAATGTACATGTACAAGTAAAACAAAAATATATAGTAAACAAATAGTGAACATGACCAAGCTTGTAATGTGATAAAGTAAAAAAGCGGTTAGAACTTTACTACTTTACTTTATCACAGTAAGTTTTTACATTACAAGCTTGGTCATCTTCATTATCTGTGAGCCTTATCCTTGAGGAGCTCCTGTTGTGAACTTTTAACTAAAATACTCTGAAGCTCTCACTTCCTCTGTGTTTTTATAGAAATACAGTAATACAAATATATCTCAGCTACCTGTTTCTGAAGAATGTGGACGGTATTTTTGCTCCTGCTGTTTCCTTCTTTACTTTGCTTTGTAATCACTTTACCTGCTCCAACACCGGATAATGTGTCTATTTTTGATTTTCTGTCAAGGAAATCAAGACTTTTATACCATTTTTACATGTTTTAACAAATCATCTGATGAGCCAGCAACATGTCGAGGGGAAGAAAACAAGGCAGTTCTATCTGTGAGCACTACCTGAACTATCAACAAGAGCTACAAGCACAAGATATTTGCTTTAGAAACTGAACAAGGACTTCATCAGACGCTACCAGTGACTTCCAGTGGTGAGCAGCCCACAATTAATTCCAGAGAAGAGGGTAAAAAAACGAGAAAAAAATAACAAATTAATAAATAAATAAAGTGAGGGATAGTCAGTCTCGAGACCTAGCCAGGCTGGTGCCACCTAGTGCCTCCGCCCAGTTTCATTTCTCTCCAACAACTAGGTCAGGAATCGGAATACAATAGATGGTTCGCAAAAACCCCGGAAGTGCGAGTTCGGGCACCAGCCAATCAGCGAAGAGACATACATTCTGTGTTGTCAACAATTCCCGAGATCGAGGATTTAAAGGCGGAACAAAGAGAATGTTTGGTGAATTTTATCAAGGGGAAAGACATTACTGCCCTTCTTCCTACGGGATTTGGGAAAAGCTTAATATACCAGTTAGCCCTGTTAGCGACGTATTACATATGTCATGACCAAATAGCAGTGACTGGTTAAATAAAAAAGTACCCGCCTACCATTGAGCAAACGAATCCTAATGCTGCGAGGTCAGACTGTTTCTACGAAGTGAAACCGTCTGATGAATCAGGCTACTCGAGACCGCTTTTTTGCAGTCTTGGTCTTGTCTCGGAATTGAGTGCATTTGGTCTCAGTCTTGTCTCGATCTTGAAGGCGCTTGGTCTCGCGTTTGTCTCGGACTCGAGGTCTGACACACAACGAGTGCGATCAGATTTCATTACGGCCGGTAAATGCGCAGAGGCTGATAAATATCACTGCAAAACCTGTAAGAAATGTAACTGTAAATGTTCTGAACTTGAAAAAACTCACTTGAAGTTGTTTTCTGTAAAGTGCCAGTGGAAGGGGTTCTCAAACTGTGGGTGAGGGTCCAAAAAGGGGGCACAGAGGGTTTAAGTGCAGTGCAGTTTGCTTGGCCTATTTTAAGTTTAAATTAACATTAATCAGATCAAATGGAGATAGATTTATAAAAACATTCATATATATGTGCCAAAATATCTGTAAAATACAAATAAATGTAGGAAATGACAAAGATGGTCTTGGTCTTGGACTTTAAAGTCTTGGTCTTGTCTCAGTCTCGGACTTTAAAGTCTTGGTCTTGTCTCAGTCTCAGCCTTTAAAAGTCTTGGTCTTGTCTCGGTCTTGACCCTCAGAGGTCTTGGTCTTGTCCTGGTCTTGGGACCCTGTGGTCTCGGACTAGTCTTTGGTGTCGATGAATGCGGTCTTGACTACAACACGAAGAGGTCGTAAGGAGGAACAGTGCAAAGATGAAATAATGATTGACAGGACATCTGTTACATAAGGCCGAGTAGTTGTACAGTTGTAGGGAGTATTATCTGTTACATAAGGGTGAGTTGGTGCACAGTCGTAGGGAGTATTATCTGTTTCATAAGGGTGAGTTGTTGTACAGTTGTAGGGAGTATTATCTGTTACATAAGGGCGAGTTGGTGCACAGTCGTAGGGAGTATTATCTGTTTCATAAGAATGAGTTGTTGTACAGTTGTAGGGATTATTATCTGTTACATAAGGGCGAGTTGGTGCACAGTCGTAGGGAGTATTATCTGTTACATAAGGGCATGTAGCTGTACAGTTGTAGGGAGTATTATCTGTTACATAAAGCCGAGTAGTTGTACAATTATAGGGAGTATTATCTGTCACAAAGTGTGAGTTGTTGTACAGTTGTAGGGAGTATTATCTGGTCAATTGGAGCTGTCAATAGATTCAATTGATCTTCCCTTGACAATCACAGGTCTAAACATACACCCAACAGTTTCCCTTTTGTGACGTGCTCCACTAGTGCTCCCTCTAGTGTCAGTCTGAAGGCAGTACAACCACATGGAGCCTGGCACTGGCACTGAAAACAATTTCACCTGTTTAAAAATGTACGTTAAGTGTAAAAAGTATTTTGCAGAGAAATTTTGTGATTTTGATAAAGAATTTTGCAGATTTCAAGCAATTCAACTGATTGTTAAAATTTTTCTTGAGAATTTGTGCATTTGATTTGCTCAAGGTTCAGACGTTAACTCAAATTAAAACGTGGCTTTTATTTTCTTTTAATGTATTTATTGGTTTTATTTTTTATTGCTATTCTTTGGTTTTGCTGTCATTTTATTTTGCTGGTTTTATTGTTTTAGGACTAGTATGATTAAATCTGAGCATTTATTTTATTGTTGTTATTAGTATGTATTTCTGCAGCACTTTGGAAACTGTTTGTGAATATAAAAATAAAGTGGATTGGACCTTTAACTTCTTTTCTTTGGTATATAATTCCATCTATATTACATGATGAAGAATTTATTTCCCCGTGCAGAGTTTTCTCAGAGAGGTGGGCGCTGTGAGAAGATGGAGCTGTAGATTTGGCCGTGGTCTCTTGTGTCGGTGCTGAGACTCTGGTAAGTGGAGTCTGCAGGCTCTGAAGGGGGAGCTGGGCAGTTCTCGTACACTGCAGGCTAAAAGCAGGGACATAGTGAAACATTTTTATTTGAAATTATGCTGATAGGGTAATAAATATCAGAATTTTACCTCTACGTTGGTTTCTCCCAAAGTATCTGCTTTTTGAGAATCTGTGGACATATAATTCATTTATTTAATGTAAAAATGTAGAAAGTAACATAGAAAACGATATACAGAAGGGGTCCGTGTACCATTCGTTCTTTTGAATTTCAATTAAGAACGAAAAACAATAAAATCGGAAATAGTTTGTTATTTCATTATTCTGTTTTAGTGTCAAACAAAAAAAAAAAAAAAAATATTTCGACCTCTATTTTCAAAGCTATTTTCAAATAACACCAATCAAAAAACTGTTTCAGTACCTTCTTAACTGAAAATTACCCTTACTGAAAAATGTAAAAAGTGGGCAAGGTACAAACCTGAGGCACTCTGACTGGATTTATCAAAAGTCCTTTTTTATATGAAGGGACGCCAAAGCGTTTCGACCAGCAAGATGGTCTTCGTCAGGGCGTAATGGTAGAAGTGCCATTCAGTACAATTAATTATCAATCACATGACAACATCACATGACCGTAGAAAAAAGAGACAACAAACAAAACAAAAAAGGTTGGCCGACCATGAGGAATAAATTAGTGATGAGCAAACCCACCGAACAGCAACAAGAAAGCAGGACATGTTGGAGGTGGAGGTAGGTGTGTTTGTCACATATGCAATAATTAATATACAATTAGATATCACAGATCAAAAACATCATCTACATTAAAGAATTGCCAAGAAAGTTAAGTTTTAGAGGAACATTGACTAGTCCAAATCATCATTAAGGCCCGAATGTCATGTGGCCTGTAAGGTTATTCAATGTAAAATCAGCCTCTTAATCAGCCTCTTCGTAACTGAGATAGTCCCTCCAAACATCAGAGGGGGTGACAGACTCCATCAATTATCTATAAAAGAAATCTTCCTTATTGTAACCTTAAAGGCCACACGACATCCGGGCCTTAATTATGATTTGGATCCACAGTGTAGGCTGTGCAAAGAGGCTCCTGAGACAGTCCAGCACAGAACTGCAGGGTGTAAGATGCTGCAGTGGCGGACATAGGCTATGTTCAGTCTGCAGCCTGAAGTGACACAAATCTAATTTTTTGGCCCCTATGTGACCTGTATCTGATCTTTTAATGACAGTCTGAACGACACAGATCCGATTTTTTCAAATGCGACCCAGGCCACTTGGATATGTGGTCCTGAAACCGATACATATCTGATCTTTTGACATGCAACTTCAGTCTGAACGGCCAAAGAGCATTAATCTGACCTACCCGTTATCAACAAGCCACAAACGTCACTATTCTGCGCTCAAGTAGGCGAAAATTGTTAATGAATTCCGTGTCACTGAAGCATCGCCACTTAACACTCTTGGCTACGTCTCCACATCCACACGTTCCTTTCAACGGACGTTGCTGCCACTGCCCCACAAAACGCCACGGCCAAAAACCTCATCCCTCTCCTTCTCAATCTCCTCCTTAAAACAAGTAAGTTGTACATGTTGTGGCTCTGGTATGAGAGGAACTTTAAAATCTCCAGGTGCTCAATGCTCGTGACCATGTTTGAACACAGAGCACGCTCGCTGTGGTTGACGTCATCATGTCCTCCTTTGCACATGCAGGACACTTTTGGGCCATTTAATGTTCACACTGGTGATCACATACAAGTCACATTTAATTGGAAATGTGAACAACCTTGCAAAAACATTGGATTTCACAAAAAAATCTGAATTGAGCATTAAGCCCTGTAGTCTGTACAGAAACATCTGTGCAGAGTACGGGCTGGAGACCCCAAGATGAAGGTGGGAAACACCTCCAAAGGTTGTGGAGAAAGACCGAGCCAAAATCTCGTGGGAATTCCAGATACAGACTGAGAGGATGGTGATGGTGAACCAATCAGACATGGTGGTGGTGGTGGTGGACATCACAATACCAAGCGATGGTAATATCAGGAAAACAGAACACAAGAAACTAGAGAAATACCAGTATTTCAAGGAGGAGCTGGAGAAGGCCTGGAAGGTGAAGGCATCAGTGGTGCCCGTGGTGATCGGACACTCGGGGCCGTAACCCGCAAACTGGAAGAGTGGCTACAACAGATACCAGGAAAAACAACAGACAACTCAGTCCAGAAAAGTGCAGTACTGGGAACGGCAAAGATACTGCGTGGAACTCTCAGGCTCCTAGGCCTCTGATAGAGGAGCCGAGCTGAATGAGGGTGAGAGACCATATAAACCTTGCCCTGCCCTAGAATGACCAAATGGGGAAGTGCACCACTAACAATACTTCTGTGTGAAATCGACCTTATGTGCTCACCAAGGTTTGATTTCCTCTTTTTGTAGAAGATCATGTACCACAGCCCTCCAGACATCAGCAGCAGCACTGGGATCAGGAGCAGAAGCAGCAGCAACCGCGACACAGTCTCTGGTGCATCTGAAAAATACAGTTTTGTTAAAGGCGATCTACCTGATATTTACTGACTTCTTAAAAAATGAAAAACAGAAATAGTTCATTTGAAACTGTTTGCAGTGGCCCAAAGTTGTTCCTCAATTACCTTATGGTTCTGAACATCCTAATTATTCACAGCGATGAGGTTATAAGTTTATTTCTCCATTTGCAGATGCTGGTTTACTGTGAAACATCAACGGGTTATAATTTGATGCAGACAGTACAAAGCTGGTTAATTTTGGCCTCTAGAGCTGCTTATACCAGGGCAGAATAGTTGTTTTTCTTAAATACATTCATGTGTCTCCAAGTAGACACACATTCGGCCTCATTAGATATGGACAAACTTTAAAAATCCTAAACGGGCCTGGTTCACAACATCTCACCCACCTCAGAGTTTCCACACAGCTATAAATTAGAGTTTGAGGTCAGAGTGTCTTTTGAACCAGCCTAAAGTGTTTTTGACAATTGCAGTCACAATAAGATTTAACTGTGCAATTCCCTTTCTGGAGCTGTGGTCTTGAAGGCAATTTGAACGCTGTAACCTGAGGTCCAAACATAGGTCAAAAGTGTAAGTGCATGTTAGGATGCGAGTTGTTGAAAGATTTAGTCCTGTTTTAGTCCTGCTTCAATCCTGGTTTAGTGCTCTTGGTTCAGTTCTGGGTTACTCCTGTTTTAGACCTAATTTAGACTTGGTTTAGTCCTGGTTCAGTCCTGGTTCAGTCCTAGTCCCTCATGTCTCAGGTCACTATATGACAGTACTGCAGATATCATGAGCCTATGCAGGTTGTTGTCACCACTGCCAATTGCTCCGGTTTGAGATTTAAGTTGTAGGTAGGAATGTCCCGATCACGTTTTTTTGCCCCCGAGTCCTTTGATTTTGAGTATCTGCCGATACCGAGTCCCGGTCCGATCCTTCTATAAATCATTATGAAATGAACTAAGACCAAAGAATAAGATCCAGGATGTGTGGGGGGATCAGATTGTATTGATTTCAATGTGTAGTATTTGGGCTGAACTTAGTGTGAAAAATCAAATGTCCAAAACTTTAATTTTATTAACTTTTCTAACCATGCACCATCATTGTTGAAAATCTTTACTTTTACCACAGTCTGGTCTTGGAATGTGTAACTTAGCATACTTAAACATTTAGGATCATCTATGATATCCAAATAATACAAAATCTTACCAAATAAAAACGAGATGACATTTATTTTTTATAACTCTCTTTGTACACCCCAACAGGTCATTCTGTGTACCTCTGGGGGCAAACTGTGATATTTATAATGTCTAACTGATTGACAGTACTACTCAGGAACTTTCATTCTTACAGTATAATGCAGTTTAATACTATATTCACCTGCAGTAAGAGTAGAGAGTTTAAGACTGTAGTTGGAGCGCGCACTGCAACATCGGTCATACCGCTCAATAGACACTCTATGCCGCTGGACGTACCCTCTTCGCCAAAAGTGCCAGCTCCGCTGCGCGACATGCAAACAAACAGCACATACAACAACGCCATCGGGCCGCGCAGGTGTGAACACGAGCCACAGAACCCTAGGCAACAGCACTCGAGCATGACACGGCCCAAAAGTCCCTGCGTAAGTGTGACCCCTAGTACAGCAGGCTTTGGGACAGACAGTCACGCTAACTGAACATCCCTGAGCAAATCCCGTGCCTCAGTTAAAAAACTAAAACTGTTGTGTGCTGTGTGTTTTATACGTATATTATTTTTCCGATACCTGATCGGAACGTTACGTCCGAGTCTGGATTGAGTCCGCAGTCACGTATTCGGCTCGGATTTCTGATCAAGTGATCGGATCGGGACAACCCTAGTTGTAGCTAGTTTATATTTCTTATTTTTTTTTATATCTCACATCGGGAGAAGTGGGCGGACGACGTACCCCCACGTACACTGCAAACTCTTTTCAGTTAACTGGTTCTGTTTTTCATGTATTAAAACAGTAGAAAACAAGTACAGTGCCTTTAAGGAATGGTAATATTTTAGATAATGAGAATGAAAACGAATAAAGAATGTCACTGCTTGATTTAGTGGTGTCAGTAATTGTGAATAATCATAAAATATTTTTTCTCAGTGACTTCCCTACTGACAATAAATGTTCTGAATGTAACTACTTACCATCCACAAAGATCTCAAACATCGTAGAAGATGTGTTTCCGGATGGTGCTTGCATTCCACAGATGTATTGCCCAGTATCGGCTTTGGTAAGACCCTTGATGCCCACAGTCACAGAACTCTGCCCATACTTGAGGCTGTATTTGCCATTCTCAGCGCTGTCCTGGTAGGTGTGCAGGACAAACTCTGGGCTTACGTTTCGCTTGAGATACAGAAGGGGTTGGAAGAAAGACTGGCATTTCCTGTAGTCCTGTACACAGCCGGAGAATGGCTTCTTGATTTCCAAAGGCTTAAGAACAACTTCAACCTTGATATTTTTTCCTTCTACGCCGACAACTTTTGTAATGTTTATTCTGTCACTGGAAACTCCTGTGGTAAAGGCAGAAACATCAGAAATCACATGATGTGTTAAAGGGGATTTCACAGTACTAAAACAACACAACCTCTCAGCTACTTCTACCATCTAAGTTTGTGAAAAGTAAGGATATGAAGAACATTGTAGTCAAATGGACTTTGGTTGCTACACCTAAAGAACTGTCCACTTCCCAAAGTAGCACCAGGAATTTAACTAAACATTCACAGATGTGCCCTAGTAACATGAAGTTTCCAACGAAGCAAGTGGAGGATGAGAGTTGTGATAAGTCTTCTGTTTGTATATAAAATGTAGAAATATAACATATAGAAAAAGATAAACAGAATGGGTCCATGTACCATTTGTTCTTTTAACAAAAAACATTAAAAAGGGGAAAACAGTTTATTATTTCATTATTCCGTTTTAGTGTCAAACAAACAAAACAAAACATAAAAACATATTATGACCTCTATTTTCCATATTTAATTTGAAGTTTATTTCAAATCACACTAATCAAAGAACAGTCATCGTGCCTTTTTCAATTTTTCAATTTTGATATTTCATTCTCTTCTAGCAGCAAAACTTCAGGGAGACTAAAATATTTTTGAAATAGGCACTGAAACTGTTTTTGATTGGTCTTACCACACACAGCACCCACTGTGGAGAGTTTTAAGTCTTGTCTTAAGACCCACTTTTATTCTCTGGCTGGTGAGTTGTGTGGTCCTCTGTGTTTTTTATTTATTTTTATTTATTTATTTTTATGTGTTTTTATTGATTAAATTTATTTATTGGTTTATTTATTTCTATTCTACGATTTTGTTCTTATTTTATTTTACTGGTTTTATTATTTTAAGACTAGTATTATTTTAGTAGTTTATTTTATCATCTTATCATTGTTGTTATTATGTATTTGTGCAGCACTTTGGAAACAGTTTGTTTGTGAAATGTGATATAGAAATAAAGTGGATTGGATTATTTGAAATAAACTTTAAATTAAATATTGTAAAAAAAAATCAGATTTTTATATTTTTTTTTACACTAAAGCGGAATAATGAAATGATATTTTATTGTCTTTATTGTCTTTGTTCTTAATTGAAACTCAAAAGAACGAATAGTACATGGACCAGAAGGCGAGTCTGAACTTGAGTGTAAATAGGCTCACTGTGTCTCAAACTAAAAGTCACTTTCACTAAAACTGTAAAACATAAAACTACAAAGTGAGCGTTCTCCCACTCTGAGATTTTTCAGCCTCAAGAGGATAGGAGACTCGTGGCGGAGTATGTCGTTGAAGATAAGATACCTCTTTCAACAGTGGAATCCCCAGCTTTTCGAAAACTTTTCAGCAAGATCCCTGTTACAACCAGCAGCAATGATGACAAGATAAGCAAGGCTACAGGAGAATTTGCCTGATTTTGGCTGATATTTGCTTCTCCACGGAGTTCAGCGAGGCATGACCCGACTTTGTGTTTTCTTGAGCGATTTTGTATCTGCTGCACTCCTCGTGTGTGTGTGACTCTGAGGGCCTGTTTACACGAGAAAGGTTGTGGGTAAAAACGACAAAATATTTTATCAGAAGCGCCCAGTTTGTTTATACGGTGATGGCATATTTGGGGCTTAAAAAACGCAAAAATCAGAAACCACCCTCCAGAGCGGAAAAGTTGAATACGCTCCACCGTAACGTTTCCGTCTACACTGCCCAAGACGTAAAACTCTGCTCACGTCACGTACACGTTTACGTCACATACACACAGTACACAGAAACCTGGCATGCAAATCCAATCGAACACAGGACTGCCAGGTGTTTCTGACTCCAAACACCCAGTGGAGTTTGAAATGTGGATGTTGTTAGACCAATCACACTGCTCCTTGATCACATTTTGCTCAAATTTAAAAAAAAATATATATAGCACTTTTCCACTCATCCACTCAAACCACTCATTCATACGCAGTGTACTCAGATTAAGTGTTTTGCCCAAGGACACAACGATTGCATTCATCTGTAGGAGCTGTAATCACACCGCAATCTGTCTTCTTTATTTTTATTTTATCAATAAATATCTATAATAATATATCTTTCAATTCAAATGCAAACTAAAACTAAACTTAAATCATTAGAAAGCCATCCAAATAAACAAGATCAATTTATGAAGAACTGAAATTATCAATCTGAATCATTTAACTATCCCTGTGTCTCGTAATATTTATACACATTGTTGATCTGTTTTATTGTATGTGTGTTGAAGCGGAGCTCATCAGACAGTGTATGGAAAGGCAAAGGGATCATTTGTGCAGGTGAAGTAGAAGAGAGGAGTCATGTGTCAAAGCACTAAAGCAGTGTTTAAAGCTGCACTGTGTAACTTGTCCAGTGGAAGGTCTGTCGCCTGCTTGTCTCCATGGAGGTGTGCTTAGAATGTTCCACAGTATGCCCATAAAGTTAAGAATCAGGATAAATTACTGGTTAAATTTGTGGAGAGGCGACCCAAATCAAAGTAAGAATTTATGTTTTTTAATATATTTTTGAGCAATAACTAACACCTGTAGTTGAATAAATGTAAGACAGATTAGTTTAATACCACACTGTGGACAATTTAAACCAAAGCATTAACATCTCCATGGAGACATCAGCTCTTTTGATGCTTTGTCACTAACCTCTTTCCAGCGCTGGAACAAAGAAAGCTCTGTCGACATACTCTCCAGGAAACACCCTGCCTATATATAACAAGAAACACAGTAAAAACATAAATGCAGAATATATATTTTAAGAAAAGCTACAAATTATTTCACCTTTACAACAAAAAGACCTATGGAAGTACTACTAAAGTAAAGGAAAAAATAAAAAATAAAAAATCCAATACTTACCAGTAACAGTAATCATGTACTCTTTGTAGATGTGAAGCCCTGCAGGCGTGGTGACACCGCACCTGTAGAGCCCCGCGTCCTCAGGTCTGATCCTTGAGATGGTCATTGACAGAACACCTCGCAGGGGCCCCGTCACGTACTCAATGCTGTGATCTCCTCTGGAGGCGGAGTCACTGTAGGTTCTTATAATGACAGAACCCTTGGACCAGGAGAGGTCTTTGAGAGGTTCAAGGTACCTCCGACATGTCAAGTCCTGCACAATACACCCAGGAGGGGGTGCCAGCAGGGTTATGTTATCATCCACACAGGTCAGGGTGGTGGTCTCCCCCTCTTTTGTCTTGATTTCAATAGGTTTGGTTAAGTCAGAACTCTGTGTCTGATCTGTGAAATAGAAAAGTAAATATTGGGACTTTGTTTTAACTACTGAAAGAAGACACTGTGCTTTTGTCTGCTATATACTTATATTCTATGACACCCATGGATCATTATTTTATAATTTGGACATTTTAAATCACAATATTGATCTTAAATGACTTAATAAAAGAGACAACTCAGCTGACTTAGAAAACAACGGTGCCAAACGGGAGGTGATGTCACCGTAAATGTCTTCACAACAAAGAGGTGGAGTTGTGGGCACCTCTGATGGACATCTGCATATCCCGCTTGTGAGCACCAGATTTTTTTTTTCTTTTGCAGCAAGACAACTATGCAATGCTCCTATGTGTATCACAGATTTAAAACATAAAATTGGAGAATGAAGTAGGTCCAGAGCAGTGGGCGTTAAAACGGGTTGATTGAAGCAATGATGTCTTGAATAAAGATTACTTAAACATGCTTGCCTGGGATCCAGAATACTCATTTTTTTCCGTACTTTAGAAAGATGTGAATCTGGTCACCAGTGAATCTCAACCTTTTCAGAATCGTGATTGACAGGTGGATTAGCCAATCAGAGGCATGCATACGTATGTATCAGAAAAAAATAATAATAATAAAGAAAAAGAATATCACAGGCAATTAAAATCTTCGCTGATTTCTGCAGGATTTTTCTGGTGGCAGCTGGATCCACTTTGAGGTCAGTTATGACATGTACACCAAATTTAAACATGCACATATTTATCTGTATTTAAACATAAAGCTATGGTGTATATTTGTCATCAAGGAAAAAACAAAAAAACATGAAATACATAAATATAAAAAGGCCTGCAATTTGACTCATTTATTATGTTAACCACATTAAACTTGTTGACCTAATAATAACTGTAAAAGTAGCTGCTTGGACATAACATCTGATTTATAAAACATCAAATAATGCACAAAATCTGGTATTTTCAAATGATAGACACAAACGTGAGACAAACTAAAATCACAGGAGCGGTGCAAGAAACACAAATCCTCATATCATTTCATATTGTCACATAAAGCTTTTGTCTCTTAAAGAATTACTCACAGTGGGAAGGAGGAACTACTTTTACTCAAGTTACCAAACTGGTACTCTATAAAATATTATAGGAGTAAATGCAGCTTTTGGTGTCATAACTACTTGAGTAAATACCACTGATTAAAGGGCCTGTATTATTCTGTTTTCTATCTTATAATGTAGTTTCCTCAACACAAACAGACCTGGAGTTGTGTTTTGTTTCATTCGCAGGTTTAACACAGAAACCCTGCAGATTTAGAAATAGAAAACACTGTTCCACCTGATTTTAAACTCCATACGCCTTCACTATAATTATTTGAATGATTTCAGCCTTGGAATTGCCCATCTCTACTGAACAGAATGTAAAAGGTAGTCGTTAATTACCAAACTACCATCATCACAAGAGCATTTTTAGCATTTAGAAATGTAGACAGACTAATAATAAAGGGTTTCTCAAACATGTGAATAAAATGAAACACAACTTCAGGTCTGTTTTTGACAAGGTAACAACATTATAACATGGCTTAAACTTCACAAGAGTCAATTTTGTGTAATATAGGATCTTTAAGTAAACTGGTAGACTCAAATACTTACATAGGATGGCTGCACAGATAATAAGAGGGACAGTCTTCATGTTGAGCTCCAAACAGTGTATGTAAAAGGCTGAGACTGTACTGTATCCCTAGTACCAGTCTACTGTATTAAGAAAGACATGACGACAGAGTGCACACTGGCAAATGGAGAAGTGCTGTTTGATTACACACTGTAAAATCTAACACTAGGATTAACTTACATTCAGCTAGTTTTCTTTACTCACAGCTACGAATTTGTGGATCTTAATGATTGTGGTAAAGTAACAGTTACTTTCAGAGCGAAAAAAGCACATTACTTGTCAAATAGACTGAGGTCACCTTGAATGAGATGAGTAACTTCAACAATGACATATTATTGCCAAGAGGGGGCGCCATCTAGTGCCTTTCTTCAGGGACGACGAGCATACCAAGAAAATAGATGGAGAGGAAGAGGAAACATACAAACCAAAAACACGTGGAAATTGAAGATCTGACTGTGCTGGAGGTGTGCAATTTTTATAAAAAGCTCATTTTGCCAAAAAACTTATAGGCTGGGAGCCGTGTCCACCCCTCAGGATGTTTTTTGCTACCTTTTTTTTCACTGTTATTTCCTGTTATCTTATATCTTGGGCCATCACAAGTTGATAGAAACCAACCCCGGGCCCAAAAAACACCTTACTTAGGAAAAGCTACTGGTGAAATTATGTAACTGTAAATATTAAAGTGCTGCAACTGCATACATGGTCAAATAAGCCTAAAATTGTGCATGGTGTACCCTGACACATGCGGGAAACTAACAGAAAGCCCTCAACATACCCCAAAAGCCAAAAAAAAGTCTGTCCGCCTGACAAATTGTCATCAAAAGTGATCATTTTCAAGCAGTTTATTACATATATCACTGCCTTGAATGTACTTGAAAAACTCCCCAGGTTTATAAGGTTCAATTTAAGCCCAAGGTCCATCCATCCATTTTCTTCCACTTATCTGGGGCCGGGTCGCGGGGGCAGCAGTCTAAGTAGGGACTCCCAGACTTCCTTCACCCCACCTCGGGGTGGTTACGGTGTTCTGAATTTAAGATGAACAAAAGTTTTGCCATGTTTTTTCAAAGACTAATAAATGTGCAAATCATTGTGTAACTGATGCAGATCTAAATGGCTTTATTGTAGAAAAGAACCTGTTTTTACTCTTAACTTGTGTATATAAGGCTACGTTCAGACTGCAGCCTGAAGTGACCCAAATCCGATTTTTTCACCCCTGTGTGACCTGTATCTGATCTTTTAATGACAGTCTGAATGACACAGATCTGATTTAGAACTGAACCAGGTCTAAACCAGGACTAAACCAGGACTAAACCAGGTCTAAACCAGGACTAAACCAGGTCTAAACCAGGACTAAACCAGGACTGAACCAGGACTAAACCAGGTCTAAACCAGGACTAAACCAGGTTGAAACCAGGTCTAAACCAGGACTAAACCAGGACTAAACCAGGTCTAAACCAGGACTAAACCAGGACTAAACCAGGCCTAAACCAGGACTAAACCAGTAGTAAACCAGGTCTAAACCAGGACTAAACCAGGACTGAACCAAGAATAAACCAGGTCTAAACCAAGACTAAACCAGGACTAAACCAGGTCTAAACCAGGTCTAAACCAGGACTAAACCAGGTCTAAACCAGGACTAAACCAGGACTGAACCAACAATAAACCAGATCTAAACCAGGACTAAACCAGGACTAAACCAGGTCTAAACCAGGACTGAACCAAGAATAAACCAGATCTAAACCAGGACTAAACCAGGTCTAATCCAGGACTAAACCAGGACTGAACCAAGAATAAACCAGGTCTAAACTAGGACTAAACGAGGACTAAACCAGGTCTAAACCAGGACTAAACCAGGAACCAGGACTAAACCAGGACTAAACGAGGACTGAACCAGGTCTAAACTAGGACTAAACCAGGACTAAACCAGGTCTAAACCAGGTGTAAACCAGGTCTAAACCAGGTCTAAACCAGGACTAAACCAGGACTAAACCAGGACTGAACTGGTTTCCATGGTTTTACCAAGAAAGATGAAATTACTCTTAAAGTAAAGGTGACTACATATTTCAGATTTGAGGAGCTGACAGAACACGAGATCTATGAATGAAAACTAAAGTAAACTGAACCTGCTGTACCTAGTTTGATGAAAAAGGAATTTACTGAACACTACACTGAGGAATTACTTGTAAGCTCAGTTTTAGATTCACAGTCGACTTCAGTCAGATTTTTCAAGGCAATTGGTTTCCTAGATTGTTTTCAAGTAAAGTCTAATTATTAGATTTTACAGTGCAGTCAAATGCAATAATCTGTGTACTAGCAGGATGTAACAGTATCTTTATCTCTTGGTGTAATATTTTCACAATATGCATCTTTTTATTGTAACGATATTTTGTGGTAGGGCTAACCAAAATGCAAATATGCTGCTTTTTCCTTTTAAAATGTCCTACACGCCTTGAGTTCTGTGGAAATCCAAAGACTTTATTGATCTAAAAGTGCTTCTTATATTACGCAAAACTGACTCCTGTGAGCTTTAAGCCGTGTTAGAATTATTACCTCCTCAGAAACAGAACTGGAGTTGTGTTTTGTTTCATTCACGTTTCACATTCTCCTTTGAGTAACCCTGGTTTATTAGTCTGTCTACATCTCCAAAGCTCAAAATGCTCTGGTCCACTTTGTGATGTCATGAAGGGCAAGGTAAAAGGTAAAAAGTGAGGTAAATAGTAGCTGTTAACTTGAAAACTACCTCAGTTTTCAAGTTACTGGGTGACAAACATGACCTGTCATTAAAGTAAAGAGCTGACAAAGACTATTTTTAAAACAGGAAGGTTGTGTGTGGTGAGATAAGTTTTTGGTATTAACATATGGGGCAGTATCTGCACTGAAAAGGGAAGAATTCGGTTACAGCTCTACATTTGAGTTTGGAAGGTCATCTTACTCTGTTTTATTTCACGGTACAATAATGAAGATTCAATTTCTGCTCTTCTGCTTTCTAACGGGTAAGACACAATGCACGGTTGTTTTGAACACTGTTGGGCAAGTTACTTCAAAACTGTAATGTGTTATTTATGACTTGTTACTGTCATTTCAAAGTAATTTGTTATATTACAATATTACTGTGTTTAAAATATAAGGCTTTACACGACTACTGCAGCACTTTAAGTTACTCTCACCAAAATAACTGTGAAGATGCAGAACTTTTGCGTCATATATGGACTGAACCAGGCCTAAACTAGGACTGAACCGAGGACTGAACTGAGAACTGAACCAGGACTGAACCAGGACTGAACCAAGGACTGAACCAGGACTGAACCAGGACTGAACCAGGTCTAAACCACAACTAAACCAGGACTTAACCAAGGACTGAACCAGGATTGAACCAGGACTAAACTAGGACTGAACCAGGACTGAACCAGGTCTAAACCAGAACTGAATCAGGACTAAACCAGGTCTAAACCAGGACTAAACATGAACTAAACCAGGACTAAACTAGGATTAAACCAGGTCTAAACCAGGACTAAACCAGGACCAAACCAGGACTAATCTTGGACTTGCACTTGGAATCTAGGACTGCCCCTGAGAGAACCCTGAGCCCGTGGAGCAGGTGTTTGCAAAGCACGATTGGGCGTCGGCTGTAATTAGCTCTGTGCAGTGTGGAGTTCAGTGCCAGTCCTTTTGTCTGCGGTTACCCGACTGTCTACAAGGGCGCACCTCCGGGCCCGTCCCGACATTCGGAACCGTAACGATGGCGTTTCAGTACTGCTTATATTGTGGTAATTTTAGTAAATTTGTATGAAGAAAAACAAAAAACCACCACTTCAATCTAGGTTAAAAATGCATTGTTACTGACATTTGTATTGAGTAAAATATTACCATTTTTCCCCCTGTAATGCATTAAATTACTGCATTACAGCAAAAAGCAATGCATTACAGTAATTCATTACTTTTATAATGCATTACTCCCAACACTGGTTTTGAATATATATTTTGTGTTTGGTATGTGTAGTATGTATGGCTGCAAGATTAATTGCAATCGAAATCGCAATTTGAATAAACGCAATTCGAAAATAACAAAGGCTACAATTTTTTAAGCACCATAATTTTCTTCACAATTCAGGTCACAGGGCTCTGAAATGTCACGTAGCCATTTTAACAATTAAAACATGTAATATTCTGCTTCTTAAAGTAAAATGTCATGCAGTGCCATTTCTATAAAGATGTTTTCAGTCAGTTTACAATTGTGGTTTACAATTAAGAAAATCTATAACATACATATTTCCTTTGTATTTGAGCAAAATGTGTCTTGCCCAAGTACTCATATATAGTGTTTAAGCAGCTACTGTCGAGATAAGGCAGAACCGAAACTAATATCCATTTCAGCAAATTTTTTTGTCATCAATCCCTAGCCAGACTGGCGCCACCTAGTGCCTCCGCTCAATTTCATTTTTCTCCAGCGACTAGGTCAGGAATCAGAATACAATAGACCAGTAGTGCCCGATCTCGTCGATCGCGATCTACCAGTCGATCTCCAAGCTCGTGTGGGTAGATCTCAGTGTCGTAGGACTCGTCTCGGACTCGATCGCGTTTGGACTCGGTCTAGTCTCTCACTCCAGGTCTGACACTCGACAAGTGTGATCATATTTCATTATGGCCGCTGGTGTCGGCTGTGCGGGGCTCTGCGGGGCTCTGCGGGGCTCTGCGGGGCTCTGCGGGGCTCTGCGGGGCTCTGCGGGGCTCTGTGGGGCTGTGTCTCTCTGTAGCCTGTGCGTTCATTTGAATCCGTGGATAATGTGCGGCACATCACAAACACACACGCTCCCTGCGCGTGCCTTGTCCGCAACAGCGTGTGTCCTCGTGTACCAGCGTGTATCACAGGAGAGGTTCAACTTTTTCAAACATTTTGTCTGTTCATCTGCGTCACGTCAGCGCACCGCTCCTCGCCTTTTCACTCTCTCTCTTCTCCCCGTGTACAGCACACAGACTCCTCCTCAATGCGCTGATTAGAACAAGACGAAATACGAAGCAAAAACTAATCTAAATGTATGTTCCAGTGTTGGCACAGGAGCCTACAGCACAGAACAGAACTGGATAAATTCTTCATGGACAGAATATGTCCTTTGTTGACCTTGTTGGATGAAGATTTGGTGATGGGGTAGATTTATGAAGCTGGTGGAAAATACACGAGACATTTCCACAGATATTTTGCCATAGAAAAGCATTAATATAAGTGACATTTACCCTACATCGCGCACTTCCGGAGATTGTGAAAAAGGTCTATCCACAGCGACACACACACACAAATAGACAGATCTACAAGGCGACGAGTTGAAAGCCTGGGGCTGTAACAGAAACATTTTAACATACTAGATCAGAAAATAGTGTAATATGGGCCTTTTTTTTTTTTAAACAACAGTTCTTGTAATATGTCACTTACTGCTTTTCCATAGTTACTGGTTTTGTGGAGATCCGTCCTCAGATCTTCACTGTGCACATGGGGGAAGACTTCAAAAGCATCTTCAAAAGCTTCACTAAACTCCAGGGGGTGATCTTGATATATTTGTGCCGGATGCCCTGTGTGCAGCCCATGCACAATCTGATAGAGGTGCACGGCAGGAGGACCAAGAGCGGACGTTACAGCCTTCGACTGGAGAACCTTTTGGAAGTGCACTTGGCCATCACGCAGGTGGTGAAAGAGGACACAGGCCTTTACAAACTGGGGGTCAGTGCTATGAAATTGGAGGAGGAGGTCATTTTTCGGCTCATTGTCAAAGGTGAGCTAATGCTAAGTACTTGGGTTGTTAAAGGTGGTGGGTCCATCAAATGTTTTTCTTCATGAAGACACAGTATGGTAATGAACCTTTCTATCTTCATGGAGACCAAACCAGACCAAGTTACAGGTCAAATCCGTGGAGAGGCGGCCCCGTTCACAGTCAGAATACCTGTTTTTCCAGGTATTTTTCAGCTCTAAAACCACCTGCAGTTTAATAAAAGTAAGGTAGAGCTGTTTAATATCATATGGCGGAACATTTCAGGCAATGTAATTACATATCCATAGAAACAAACATCCAAAAAGTTACAAAGCACACCTTTAAAAGTATCAGAAATCAGATGGTTTGGTCCCACTATGTTATGAATAGGGGTGGGTTAATATAAGTTTTTCTTCTTCCCACTCCTTTTCGAGAAATGTGCTTTTCTGTTGTTTGCTATGTATATGTACTATACATGATTATTGTTTCTTGGCACAAACTTGAAATAAAAAACAACCAATAAATCAATCAATCACTTATAATTGAGGACAACAACAACCATTTAAAAACACCAAAACATTCAGTAAAAATACCTTCTTAAAGGGACAGTTTAGGATTTTGGACATAGGGCCTCATTTCCTGTGAGTTCCTGTGTGGAGACACTTTCTAAATATTCCATCCAGTCCTTGTATTTGCAGAGGTCACTGGTGCTAGGCTAGTGCATGTCAATGGCCATAGTTATCCTGACACTACACCAGACTGTCGATATAAATGTCTGTGTTGAATAATGTTTGAAATAAAACTAACCTTGCGTCGCATGAATCGTCGCAGGGACTATTTTATCATATATCAGTCCGCCGCTGCCAAGCTTTCTATCAGGAAGTACAACTCACTGCTGCTGCTCAGACATAAATCCTTCAAATGCAAGGTTGGTTTTACTTCTAAAATTATTCTACCAACACAGACATTCACATCGACAGTCTGGTGTAATAATAGATTTACTTTGGGTGTTTTGTGGAGTGGGTAAGACTGTTTTTAGTGGCAGGATAAACTATGACCATTGACATACACTAGTCTAGCACCAGCGACCTCTGCAAATACAAGGACTGGATGGAATATTTTAAAAAGTGTCTCCACACCTCTCCAATGCTCTGGCTCGCTAGGAAATGAGGTCCTATGTCCAAAATTCCAAACTGTCCCTTTAAGGAAAAACGATTTCACATATATAAAATAAATAAATACATTTTAAAAATGCAATGATAATATGCTTTGTTTGGGACAGACTTGTGTGACGGAGGTGTATTCATGGACAGAAACCAAGAGTACCGGGTCACCGAAGGCTCCAACCTCTCTGTGAAATGTTACCTCACCCTACAGCCTCGAAACAGGAAGTTCTTGTGCCGTGATCAGTGCTCCGCTTACCTCATCGACACCAACGATCCGAAAGGATACAGCTCCAAGTACGGTGTGGAGTACCTCAGTTATAATTCCTTCAAAGTGATGATGTACAACCTGAGTGCCCAGGACTCGGGGCGGTACTGCTGTGGGGTGGGGCGGGAGAACAGTCCCAACTTCTGCCAGGAGTTCACCGTCAGAGTGAATGGTGAGGAGCTCTTCTATGTATATAATATATATTATATTATATACTATAATTAATTAATTAAAAATCTGAAGATGTTATTATCATTAAAGAGGGGATATTTCATTTACTTTGCTGACTCATGACCTGTTTAGATCACCATGATACCTTTTATTATTTAGAAATGGTTTGTGAATTTGTAGGGTATTGTTTCATATTGTGTTTTTGTATATTTACGGAGAATTGTCACGTGGGAGCTTGGGTGACGAAGACTTGTGGGCTGAGGATTGGACAGAATCTTACAGCTAACCATAAGGAGGGTTTGAACAGGGCATGAGAGAGATCGCTATATTACTGAAACATGCATGAATGTTGTCTAAATCCTCTTCAGGAAACAATTCTTCAGCATGGTAGAAAGCATTCCATTGCATATCAATATTTACCGTATTTTTCGGACTGTACGTCGCTCCAGAGTATAAGTTGCACCAGCCAAAAAATGTGTAATGAAGAAGAAAAAAAACATATATAAGTCGCACCGGACTATAAGTCACACTTTTGGGGGGAAATTTATTTTATAAAATCAGGGACCAGGAACTGACATTTTATCTTGAAAGGCAAGTTATAGTAACAACAACAGAATAAAGAACAACAGACTGAACAGGTGTTAATATGTTAATGTCACATATTAAGAATTATTGAGATAACTATAGCATAAACAACAGAAGATAAATTTACCAAACTCTCAGACTCACTCCAAATCACTAAACCATTGAATCCATTGAATTCTTCATCCTCTGTGTCACTTCTGAATAACTCCACACAACTTTAGTTGTCACTGAAGTCCAGGCTTCAGGATTCATCCAGTGATTCCAAGAAAGTTGGATGGTGCACCCTCCCGGTTGCCATGAAGCTGTGTTCTCCATCCCCACTTTCTGCCAGTCCCTCACAAGTTTCTCGCTCACTCCAAACTTTCTTTCTGTTGCTCGATTACCATTTTCTGCATATTTCACTACTTGCAGCAGGACAGTGGCTTTTGCTGCAGGAGATATGAGCAGAAAACTGATGCACAAGCCTAGAGCCTTTCGCTGCTGTCAGTCTGAAAATTTTAATATATAAGTCGCACCAGAGTATAAGTCGCAGGAAACACCCAAACCATGAAAAAAGTGCAACTTATAGTCCAAAAAATACAGTAAATAAAAGTATGTTTTAATAAATGTAAATCCAGAAATGCAAAAAGCTATGAAATGAATAAAGCACTGTATATTTAAATGTTTTACAGGTGCAAGCCAAGACAACCCAATAGAAGAGAAGAAGCGCCTAAGAGGTCAGTGATCCTTGCATAGATTGTCAAATAGCAGATCATCCAATCACAAATCAGTTGTATTCATTAATGGGTGAAAACAATGTCATCTACATTACCGGTCAGAAGTTTTAGAACACCACGCTTTTTCCAGTTTTTTACTGTTGACCAAAACGTATTCTAAACTTTTGATTCATGAAAGTGTCCACCTTTGGCAGATATAACAGCTGAACACACTCGTCGCTTGTTCTTTTTTACAATAGAAATCAAATATTCTTCAGAAAGTTCTTCCCAAGTCTGTTGCAGAAGTTTCCATAAATGTGTGGCACTTGTAGGTTTCTTGGCTTTCACTCTTCTCTCCAGTTCATCCCAAAACAGCTCGATGGGGTTTAAGTCTGGACACTGTGCTGGACGCTCTATGTTTTCAAGTTTACCAACTTGTTCTTTTTTCCTGAGGTAGTTTTGGCAGAGCTTGGACTTGTGTTTTGTATCTTTTATCTTTTTTTTAACCTCTGACTGTTCAGTTCTTACCTTTGTACCATTTCAAGCTCTTCATTGAACTTGCTCGACTTGAATTGCAATAAATAACTGGAAAAATTAGTGTGTTCTAAAACTTTTGACCAGTAGTGTATACTGAAATATTTTTCTACAGATCCAGATTTGATTGAAGAAGACCACGAACCAGGCAAGTTATGAGTCTGGCACATGGACTGTATACATACATGGACATAACTAACCCACTTGGATCCAACTCCAATTGACTTTATATTGAAGAATTGTCACCCATCTCTCTTTAACCTCGTCATTTTGGTTTTTAAAATGTTCATATTAATACACTCTACATGGTTTTGGTGTTTTTATTTTGCTTTTTTATCCTTAAATAAATTCCTAACATGGAACTCGGCTCCAAATTCGCTCGTACAACTGCAAGCCTCAGTGAGCTTCATTTGACTGGAGCCAAACACACACTCACACTCACTTAGTCCGGTTCTTTATACAGTCTATGTGTTGGCATTTTGCATTTGTTGTACTCACTTTTGTAGAAAGTATTACTTTTAGATTGTAGTACACTTATAAGAATTCCTTAATAGTTTGTTTTTTGGAAGTATAAAATTTTTTGAATGTGCCTAAAGATAAACTATTGACCTTTAAACAGATTTTTCCCTCATGTTCGTAAACTACACTGAAGATGACTATCAGCCAGGTAACATCACCACTATACTCAAATGCAAAACAAAGGCTATATTCACATTTTTAAAAAAGTTTTTCAATAAATTATGAATATCCCTAAAATAACCAAAATGCTTTAAACAGATTCTTCCCCAACGGTGCCAAACTTGACTCAAGATTACCATCAATCAGGTAAATTATGATCGCTACTATTGCTACTACTAATATATTCAAATGCAAAACAAGCTTCATCTGCTACTTCATCCACATTTCTGACTTTCATTAGATGTGACGTAAAAAGAAAGTAACTAAGTCTTTACACTGTATGTCCTAAGCTCTTTGTGCGGAGGGGACTGGCCTGGCCCTGCCCATAGTCACCTCTGTGCTTGGGGGCATCATACTCATCCTGGTGTCTCTTCTGATCCACATGTGGAAGAAGAAAACCCAATCTCCCCACTGTAAGTTCCTCTTTAACAAACCATAACTGCACACAACTCTACTCAACTCAACTCTCTGGTCTGTGTTTTGTGAATAGAACCAAAATAAAAACAACAACAACAAAAAAACGAACTGACTAAGGGCCCATTTACACATACAAGGGTATTTTTCCCTTTGTTTGTGCCTATCTTTTACACGCAAATGGTGAACTCGCCTCTGAAAACGAATCTTTCTAAAAACTCCAGCTGAAGTGGAGATTCTGGAAAACTACAGTTTCGCATTTGCTTGTGTTTTAGGCAGATTATGTGCCAAAAGTGTGACCAGTGTTTTTTGCTCTGATCATGGAAACATTCAGAGCAGCAGTCGCATTTCCTCTGGTGCAAACACTTTTCATGCGTTTGCATTTGCACACACAGCTGATGTTTCATATCCATGATCACAGACCAGGTCAGCAATTTTGCCACTTCTTTAACAGATCTGTGGAGAGGTGAGCCCGCTCAGTAATGCATTATTTTCAAGGTATTTTTGAGTAACACTTACAACTGTAATGAAATAAAGCTACAGGTTTGAATCTAATCCAGAGGCTTGGCGTAGTTATGATGCCGCACAATGGCGTATTTATGTGGGTTGATGTAAATGAAAACTTTTTTGAAAACAATGCTGTGTGTCCATTGTTATTTGGGAAAACGGAGGGAGGGAAATATTTGTTTCTCAACCTACCCAGCTATGTGTAAACATAGCCTTAATCCAGTCTTACAATGATTTAAAACCCTGGCCTACTCGTGAGCAAGCATTGGTTTAATAAGACTGAATCATTCTGAGTACAGAGGACCGGAACATAAAACTGGTTTAGTTGTGTAAGCTATGTTCTAATGCCCAAGTTTGACTTATTTTCTTGTAATCACAGTTTCATAAACCTGGCTCACTCTGAGTCTGCCTCAGCTGCTATAGAAGACAGAGATCTTAAACTGTTCTGGAGCAGGTTTAATGGAAAGGCTTAGTGTGAACTTTTATTAACATTGTGCTTTTTGTTGTTGTTGTCAACTAACCACCTTCACTAAAGTTGCTTATGACAAAGTTGTGGATGTGCTGTTGGAGAAGCATGTTAAATATAAAGAGAAGTGGTCCTAAGATTGATCCTTGTGGTACACCTGTGAATGACAAATGTGAGAAGCTTTTTTTATATTCTCCCGCTCTCTCTCCTGTTGACTTTTTGGAGTTATTCTCTCATCAAATGCCTGAAGAGATTTTAAATCTCAACTATTTCAGTAATTTAGCGATCTCTCCTGGGCACTATTCAAAAACTCCTCATATTTACAGCAATTCTACACAAATATACAAAACCACGATACAAAACTGTACACAACCATTTGACAAACCTGATGCAATGCGCAGTGGCTTCATTCACTCTGAAAATGGAGTGATTTAGCACAGACAGCAAAGGGAGGGGAGACTCAGAGCATCAAAAACAAATATGCAAAACTTATAAAATATGTTAATACACTGTTTTCAGTGACTATAGCATTTTCAAAACAATAAAAGTAACACAGTGATTAAAATATGTTATGTATTAGCAGTAAATACCCCATAGAAGTGTAATCTCATCTTTAAACTTAGAAACAAAGATTTGTGTGAGCTGTGAAATATTTTTTCTACTGTATACTTGACGCTTTTCTCTTGCTTCTGTAGATATGAACTGCAGCCCAGACATGCCGATGAGTCCTGCAGAGCGGCAATCACAGGTAACAAAATGTCCCTGCACCTGTATATTATTATTAGTAGTAGTAGTAGTAGTAGTACTAGTAGTAAGACTATGATAAAACAACTTCACCTATCCTCATTTCTTTTAAAAATAGATAGATAATTAATCATTTTTATATATTAGAAATGAAATAAATACATGTGTAATTAATTTTAAAATGTTTGATTTCCTTTCAGACTGCATCATGTGACAATAATGACCCAGTGTACTCCAGCTTAAGCCCAGTGAACAGAGATTCCGAATACTACCCACTCAAACATCAGCAGACTCATGACTATTTGCATGTTATCTGACAAAAAAAAGTATAGCAGTGTCAGTAAAGCCCAAGGACTAAAACCTTTAATACAACATACCGTATATCAACCTTATATTGAAGTAATTATTGATGTAATTTTGGAGTGAAGGCATCTTGAGTGGAGGAGAATAAAGATTACTCAAACATTGTACTAAACACAGCTTTAACATGGCTCCCTGGCTGGTACACTGGGCATTTTTTGGCATCATAACATTGAATTTTACCCAACTAAGAAGTGCAACATGGTGTTCAAAGGACAGTTAGATCTGTTTTTCCTGTATCCACAAATACTGTGCACGGAGCTAAAGAGCAGCTGAGATACTATAGACTTTTTAGACCAAATGCAGCTGAAGACCTTCCAGAGGAAACACTTCTTGGGAACGCCCCATCTCATCACCAACCAAAATAACAGAGCAGAGTGAGAGTGAGGCTTAGGGGGGAGGCTTTCCTGTTGTGTGTCCAGAGTAGAGCCTTGAACTCTCGGGACCCGCGGGACCCGACGCAAAACAGTGTGGAGCGGGACGCATTTTGAAAGCTCACTGCGGGTGTGGGCGGGAGTGGGACTGCACAATGCGAGAGCGGGCGGGTGGGATGATAAACTGCAGTCCTGTAAACTAAATATGAGTGTAAAGTAAAATATACAAATGATTAATGTACACTAGAGCTGGGTATCATTAAGAAGTTGCCGATACGATACATAACTTAATTCATAGGCCACAATTCGATTCGATACGATATACTTCAAATCGATTCGATACAATTCAATAAAAATACAGACTAAATCATGGCTGTGATGCTTAAAGTCTTTGTTAAATGACTTTTTGTGCAAAGTGAATATGAAACACAGTGAAAATGTTAGATGTGCTACATGATAGAGTTTCCTTCCTCTAAACAAGCAACAAACTGTAGTGCTGTAACAAAATGATTTAGTAAAATATACAAAAAAATACTCTTGGCAATATATCGATACAGCAGCCCACAATATCAGTACTGTATAATCATATTAAGCGATACGATATATAGATATTTCAATAGTTTTACACACATCTAATGTATGCCTATTATACATAATTTGTGCTGGATATTTTATTTGGCATTAATAAAAACATTTTAAGCAGCCTAAATTTGGTCTAATCTCGCACACATTTTAGATAATTCTTTCCTCTTCTCCATGTTTGATAGAGTTTAGGAAAGCGAACATCCCCATCTTGCGGGATTTGCGGATGGGAGCAGAACAAAATATTGCAGATGCAGGCAGGAGTGGGAATGAAAATTCTGTTCCACCCAAACCTCTAGTGCAGAGTTTTCCTGGCTTCCCCCTGGAGGCTGCTATGATGCTGCAGGATACAGAGGACAGAGACAGCACAGGAGAGGCACTCTTTATTTCCTGGAATGCTACTGTCCTCAGACTGTCCTGAAATGAGGTCTTCTTGCTCTACTAATCCTCCTGTTACGATGCACAGAGACTCAAAGGTGGAAATGTTGCTGCAGCTAAACTGTATCCATCTATTAACTTTATCTAAGCAGTATCTATGTATCTTAAAATAATAATAAAATAATTCTGTGTTTTACTCACGCCACAAGGGATAATGTTTTTTGTTTTTATTTATTTTTTTATTAAAGGAAGGGTATATGAAAGTACACTAGTCAAATCAAAAGTTTTAGAACACCAAAACGTATTCTAAACTTTTGATTCATAAAAGAGTCCACCTTTGGCAGATATAACAGCTGAACAGACTCGTGGCTCGTTCTTTTTACAATAGAAATCAAATCTTTTTCAGAAAGTTCTTCCCAAGTCTGTTGCAGAAGTTCCCATAAATGTGTGGCACTTGTAGGTTTCTTGGCTTTCACTCTTCTGTCCAGTTCATCCCAAATCAGCTCGATGGGGTTTAGGTCTGGAGACTGTGCTGGACACTCAAGGTTTTCAAGCTTTACCATCTTGTTCTTTTTTACTGAGGTAGTTTTTTGGCAGAGCTTGGACTTGTGTTTTGTATCTTGTATCTTTTTTTTTTTTTACCTCTGGCAGTTCAGTTCTTACCTTTGTACCATTTCAAGCTCTTCATTGAACTCGAACAACTTGAATTGCAATAAATAACTGGAAAAATGTGGGTGTTCTAAAAGTTTTGACTGGTAGTGTATAGTTTCCAATTAGAAAATAGAACGCTCTTGTGAGACTCATTCTACTTTCTGATTGGACTAACCAAAACAGCATTAGAATAGGTATCAGTGAAAGCTCTTATTTGATTTGAACATATCTCATATCTGGGGGCACAAGTCATGTTTACGATATTTAAAATTGAAAGCTTACTGTTCCTTTGAAGTTAGTATGCAAAGGTATGTTCTTGTCACTATTGGACATGTTTTTCACAAGCTCCTCTTATGTCTGATTTTGGGAACTTTGGTGTTTATGTGGTTATCTCACAATTTTTAACAATTATTAGTCATGAGTTCTAGACCATACACATGCATACTCACATATCATCATCATCATCATCATCATCATCATCATTATTATTCCGTACTCATGGTCCATTTTTAAAACAGACAAGGACAGTGACATTAGAAAACTCTACCTCGGATCTTTACAGCGTCATTGGCTACAGAAGCACGAATGTGCGTCTCTGTTTTACCACCAGGGGGCCTCCGTGTCCGCATATCCATATGATAAAGACATTGATTTGTTTCTGTAAGCTGGTTAGCCACAGCGTTCTTCTACTGTCTCTTTAAGACCAAGGAAATCAAAACAGGAAGTGAAAGAATAGGGGTCCGCTTCCTACTTGTGTCTACCAAAACATCTGCTCGGTGCGTAATGGGTGAGTCCGCTCGCTGAGGCGCACGTCTCCATAGCGCACAGGCTCCGGTCTCTTCGGACCATGCTGCAGCTCAACGACTCTGTGGAGCCCGGGAGCCCCGGGGCCGCGGTGCTCCATCCCGCGGACACTGAAGAAGGGGTGGAGGTCGCCTTCACGCCGCCCCCCGAGGCCGGAGCTGCCCACAGCTTCGCCCGGGCCGCCTCGGTGGCCTGTTGTCCCCCGCTGCAAACGCTCAAGCCTTTCCACGTCCACAACCCCACGATGCAAGCCAAAGTCAAGGACTACTTTGTGTTTAGGGTGAGCCGCGCTGCACCTCTTGTTTATTGTCGCTCAGATCTGTTATAGTCACTGTTATCCCGAGTGTAGACAGGGTTTAGTCCTGGTTTACTCTTGTGTAATGAGATGGTTCATATTTCTTTTAGCTTACCTGGTTAAGATTCACTATCACTAACCTAGTATTAGTAATAATTATAATAAAGCTATGAAAAGTACTGAACTGGTTTACTGGCAGGGTACATGTGTGGTTTAGTCCCTGTTTAATCATATCATTTATGAAGTATAAATGTCACTTATTATCTATTAGGTTATATTCAGTCTTTAAGCAGTCTGTCACAGCCCTTTTTACCCAGTACACATTATAGTTTAGTGGTATTGTTTAGGGGTGTAACGATATCCAAGTCTCATGATACGATATCATCACGGTATGAACCTCATGGTACAATATTTATTGTGATATTGTGGGAAAGGTCATGATATGGTGGGGAGGCTCATGATTAGGGATGTAACAATATCCAAATCTCACAGTAAAATATTTATTGTGATATTTTGTGAAAAATAAACAGTTATCACTGTTAATATGCTACTTTTTCCTCTTAAAATGTCTTGACAAGAATTAATCCAAAGAACTAAGACTTAAAAGTGCTTAGAACTGTTATTTTTTGTCATAGTCTGCACTGAAATGGAGCAAATGATCATGGTCTATGTAGTTCCCTCTGTCTTTTTTTTTTAATTATTGCTGCTTAATTTAAACAAAGAGACTTGTAATTCGATATATTGTGATAGTCCAAAATATTATTGTGAGAACTTTGACGATACGATATCACGATATTTCGGTTATTGTTACATCCCTAGTATTGTTATGTAATCTTTTGTGAATATAATCCAGGTTATTATCATTTTTTGTCTTGTGTATTAATGAGAAACAATGAACGTACAGTATTAAAACAATAGATTATTATGTCAGAGCTCCAGGGTGTATTGGGACATAGTTATACACTAGTTATACACCTAGAGTTTTAGCGATGTCACTGTTTATTGACGTCATCAGTTGAGGACTTGTTGCTCTCCCAGCCAGGAACCATCGAGCAGGCGGTGAGTGACATCCGGACCGTGGCTCTGCCCTCGGAGGACGGGGAGGTGCAGAGCGTGTGGCTGCTGGCTGAGTGAGTCTGCAAACCTGCCTATGACTAGAAAGTTTAGATTTTACCACCAGAGTCAGTTCAGGACATAAAACAGATATGAAAACAGTCCCGGGTTTAAGATTGTGACTTGATTGGGGAGTTTGCATGAGTTTTCCCTGTGACAAAATATACTCATGAGGGCAAAACTTCATTGCACAAGAACTAGAGAGGCACTGACTGAAGGATTGGTCAAATGCTGATAACAATTTGCTATTTGTCAAAGCCTGATCTCATCTGATCTCTGAAGCCAAGCAGGGTTAGACCGGGTTAGATGGAAGACTATAAATAAATAAAAAAGTTATTGGAGTTATTGGAGTTATCGATTGTGGAGTGAAAGTATAATGCACCAAACTGCGAAGCAACTTTGAGCGTCTGTAAAAGGGCACTATTGTTTGCATTATTTTTATTATCATACTATTTTTGCTACAGCAGGATAGGGGATTTGATGATTGATGATGATATGATTATTTCTGAACGTCTGCGCCTTTTGGTTAAAAGAGACGACAATAAATGGACTGACAGTATTTTGAATGTTAAAAAACTATAATACCAAACCATAAGGTGAGTGGAAAGAGTTAACATTTCATATTTAGCCCTAAATGTTTGATCAATTCTACACATGTAGGTGCCGTAAAGTCATGGGAAATTCACTTTAGGTCATTAAAAAGTCATGGAAAAGCTTTGAAATTTTGTCAGTGAAAAAGGGTGGGAACCTTGGTGACAGGATCTTTGATTACAGTGTTTGGCTTCTCTACTTGTCTTGTGTTGTGTTGTATTTTGAATTACAAAGATAAATGCAAATAAATGTCTCTATTTTGCTTTCCAGGGTTGACCATTGGAACAATGACAAAGAGAGACTGGTCCTCATCACTGACCGGTAACAGCACCACTGTTTTATTTTGGGGTTTTTTGGGGTGTCTGGGTTTTTCAGTCATTAATATATTTTTAATGGCTTTTCCAGGTCTCTCCTGGTCTGTAAATACGACTTCATAAACCTGTTGTGTCAGCAAGTGATCCGAATCTCTCTAAACGCAGTGGACACCATTTCGATCGGGGAGTTTGAGTTCCCTCCAAAATCTCTCAACAAGTATGTGATTTAAAGATGCACTATGTAACTTTTTCGTGTAAGGTCAGTCTCCATGGAGATCTTATTAGTTTACACTGGAATGTTCCACAGTATGGCATAAAATCTTGCATTTATTCAGACACAGGTGTTTTTATTGTTACAAAATACCTTGAAAAACATGTATTCATACTGAGAGTGGGTATGCCTCTCCACAGATCTGACCTGTAATTTGGTCTGGTGGCCTCCAGAATGAAATCTCTGCATTTTATATACAGAGGGATCAGTATGGTCACCATTTCCTCTGTCGTCTCTCGAGCCAGAACCAAATACAACCTTTCAATCAGATTTGTTTTTTTCAGTGACGTGTGAAACGAAAGAGCTCATTGGTCACTGATCATTTTGAACAATATTTTGCAATGTTTTTCAATCCAGTGTGATATTTTCATCTTTTTTCCTTGTTTGTTTTGATACATATTTGATAAGTGTTTATTCTCAATCCCAGTCAAGGTGTCGCCTGCTTGTCTCCATGGCGATAAATATGTTTAATGCCATACTGTTGAACATTCTAGGCGTCAATCCCCCCACCATACGTTCTCTGGTCCCTAAACAGAAGTGGAAGCGCATGTTAACAGTTTCCGTGTTGCAGGAGAGAGGGGTACGGCGTGCGAGTGCAGTGGGATAAACGACCTCGAGCTTCCTTCTTAAACCGCTGGAACCCCTGGTCCACAGACATGCCCTACGCCACCTTCACCGAGCACCCCATGGCCCGCGCCGACGAGAAGGTGGCTTCACTCTGCCAGGTACCACACATTTGTATTTTATTCAGAGGCGGGTCATACTCAGGCTACAATTACACTGTAATGAATCACCGTATCACCGTATCGGAAACAATTTACTTCCACACATGTCATTTCTGTGTCGGCAAGCCTTCCCTATCCACACAGCTTTGAGCATATTTGTTTACGTTTTACAGAAACTAAACTTAAAACCCCACTATTTTGCATAAACTGAGCACTCAAAAAACAGTTCGCTATTGTGCACTGATGTGGTTCTGCTTCTGTTGGGCTAAAGCAGTGATTCTTAACCAAAGTGCTGGGCCCCAAAGTAGGGCCGGGAACACCTCCTTGGGGGCCCACAATCAGTACAATATAATGCATTTAATATGAAATAGGGCCCCAGGTTACTTTGTTCAGAAAAAGTTGGGCCCCAAGATTTAAAAGGTTAAGAACCCCTGGGCTGAAGGACAGGACTCAGTGGAATATGAGTGTTCTTTCTGTGACAGAGGGGTGTTCTGCTGATGGTGAGTCTATTCTGTGTGCGTGCCGCATTGGAGATGGTTCATGTGAAACCTTTCAGAGATTATACGTCTGCAGGTCGTACACACAGACCGTATATATGAATGGACATATATTCTAGCCTCTTAGTGTTTTGGCGGTGAATTACTTTGCGGTGCATAGACCTACATCAGAGTATCAGCGTTTTCAGGCGTCCACACAGTGCGGTATCAGATCCGTACTCAGATGAATTCGTGGGAGCTGGCGGCTGTTTTCAATCGGATTAGTGTGGAAGAACAACGAAACAAAAACAACTCGATTACGTACTAGTCTGGATGGGACCTCAGTTGCATTTACCTGAGTAACAAAAACTTAGAGTCATTTTCAGACACTGTATTTTTGCACCAACTTCAGTAATATTTAGTCTTAAGGTTCACTGTGTAACGTTCAGAGTGGAGGGTTCGTCACCGTAGAGATGATGTTGGTGGAAATGTTTCACAGTATGACATTAAACTTATCTATTTCCATGGAGACAAGCACCAAGCCAATTTACATGCCTGGTTTGTGGAGAGGTAGTAGAATACATATTTTTCACCAAAAAACCCCCCAAACAAACATAATAATAATTAAATAATAAGCAAGTTTAATGCCATATTGTGGTACGTTCCAGCAAAAGCAACCTCCCCAGCATATCTCCATGGACACAACCAGGTGCTGGACTCTTACTAGAAAAGTTACATATCGTATCTTTAAAGTAACAGCGCTTTTTAATTACTGGGGATGTAACAATATCCAAATCTCTCGGTACAATATTATCACAATATGCATCTCAAAGTACGATATTTATTGTGATATTTTGAAGAAACTAATAAATATAATTGTAGATGGGACACTTTTTTGCTTTTAAAATACCTTGACAAGATTTTGGTGTGAATTATTTCCATCATAATCCCAAGAATTCAAGTAAAAAACATATCTCTTCATGTTGTCTGCACTGAAATGAATAATGGGATATGTAGTTCCCTATGTTTATTAATTGTTGCTACTATAAAACCATGCATTTAAGCAAAGAAACTTGTGATCCAATGTATTGTGACAGTCCACGATATCATTATGAGACTTTTGATGATACAATATCACAATGTTTTGGTTATTATTACATCCCTATTAGTTACTTTTCTTCCCACTGTGAATTAGAAGTGATGTAAAATGATCTGAACATCTACGTTTCTTGCACCGCTCCTTCAGATATGAAAAATATTTAGTTTTTTTTTTTTTTTTTCATTTTTGTGTCTATGCTTTCTTGCTTGTGCTATTAATTTTTGAAATCAATAGACAAAAATATCTGTATATATAGTTACAGTTTGAGTCTGTGTGTATTTCTATTTAATTATTATTTCTTCAACCAAAATATTACGTTGCCAAAAGTATATTTGTCGACAAATGGTGCCCGAGCCCAGAGGTAGTTGCAGATGTTTACTCTGAGTTGTTTTTGTGCTTTAATCCAGTTTATTTTCCCTCTCTGATAATGTTGTGACTGGCGCAGGTCTCGTAAACAGCTCATTGAACAATGGACCGATGCTTCTGCTGTGAATGCCTGAGAGAGCTCCATAAATCTATAAGCATCTATAGTCACGTCTTTGTCTGTTTGTGAAGATATGTGTTATTTTAAACTGGATACTCCCCACCTCGGGCATAATAACATGGCCTAGATAAAAAATATGTAGAATAAGTTTTAAGTGCCTTTTAAAATCAAATTTTATAATCAGGGATAATTATTATTATTATTATTTATTTATTTATTTTTATTAAAATGTAGGTATAATATTGTTTTGTTTAGTGTTTTCTTTATTTGTTGTTTATTTTATTTATATTTATTTATTTATTTGCAATTTTAAAATTTCATGCACAAAATATGCACATTTATAAGATATGCAATAAGAAAGACTGAGGTTAAAGGAAAAAACAAAACAAAACATTGCATTTGATTATTTTGTTTATGTGAATTGCAATCTGTCCACTTACCACTAGATGTCAGTGTAACATTAGGTTAGCATTTGTTGTCAGATTAAATATTATACAGCTATATATTTGATAAATCCAGTGTATTAGGGCTGCAACATATATGGATATCATACAATTATTTAATTGTATTTGTTTATTTATTTCATTCATAAAATATAAAAAGACATCAACAGTGTCACAACATCAAACATACAAGAAATGAATGAAGAGGAGCAAAAAGAAGAGTTATCTTATCTTATCTGCTTCCTTTTCCAGACAAAACATCAACACCGATAGTCAATTTAAAACATTTCCAATCAGTACTTTTTAGTTCACGCACAATTATTAATCAATTGTAAACAGAAATCTTCACTATTATGCACAACAACTTAGTTTCCTTTTTCATACACACACATTGCGCTGGATTTTATGTGTTTTTTAAATAATTGTAACTGACTTTTTATTTATCTATTTTTTATCTATTGAGAGATTTTGTGTCAACCAATTTTGCGCATCAGTCCTATGTACTCAAATTTATATGTTTTTTGTTTTAAATAAATAAAAAATATGTATACTCACACATCAGTAAATGAGTGCCCACTAAGATAAATGCTTAAACGATGTACTTGACACAAATTAGAGAAACCTCTGTATTTTCATTTTTGTAAAGGAAAAAAATAATAACAAATTAACTTCTTTTTTAGCTGGATAACTTCCGTGGCCAGCTGGTGCAGGCGGTGAAGAGGGCGCACAAGGAGAACCCGATCCCCGGCCGGGCCAACGGCGTCCTGATCCTGGAGCGACCGCTGCTCATCGAGACCTACGTGGGCCTCATGTCCTTCATCAACAACGAGGCCAAACTGGGCTACTCCATGACCCGTGGCAAGATCGGCTTTTAGGCACAACGACACGATCCGTCTGTGGTCGGGTTAAAGGTCCTACACTACACAAAATGGATTCTTGAGAGTTTTTAGTCATGTTTTAATGTTGTTGCCGCCTCAGAAACAGACCTGGAGTTGTGTTTTGTTCCATTCACATGTTTGAGTTATTCTTAGTATTATTACTTAGCTTTTAATGAAATAATGTTATAAGGTCTTATATTACACATAATTGACTCTTGTGAGTTTTAAACCATGTTATGACATACCTCAAATACAGACCTGGAGCTGTGTTTTGTTTCATTCATATATGTCTGAGTTAGGACTGTCGCAATAGCCCTAATCACCGCGGTACTAAGAGGCCCACCGCGGTGGATGTTGGGCCACTGCGACCACTGCACGTGACCAACGTGACCCGACCCAGAGTCCCACACAGGTCCATTAACATTTTACCCAGTATCACCAATGCCCATGATAACCCAGGACTAACCCAGGACTAAGGTGCACAACTGAAGACTATCAGGTGACCGCAGGCGACAGGACCACAGAAGCTCCGCGCCGCACAGAGGTAAACGCAGCCGTCACCCTGCTCCATGTGCTCTCTTAAGTCCGCGGGTACCAGACCTGGTGCAGGACTCTGACCCGACCTGGTGCAGGACTCTGACCCGAGCTGACAGTGAGAGCTGGAGAGGTGTAGTGGCACTTGTTCCAAAGCCAAATGTTACTTCTCCCGTGCTACACACACTATATCCACACAACAACCAAGGTACAAGCGCATCACTGGAGAGAGTTTTCAGTGCCGCTGGAAATATTGTAACTCCAGGGGATGTGGGGTGGGGGAGAGGATGCGGTATCACCGCATATCGCGCTGTTGAGCTGCTATACTGCACCACAGGAGAAATTCCCTAACTGCGACAGCCCTAGTCTGAGTAACCCTTTACTATTACTCTGTCTACATCTCTAAAGCAAGGGCCATAACTGGAGCTTTCACACCTCTGGAACTGACCTCAGTATCGCTATTGTTTCCTTTGCTTATTTTGATAAAGGTTTGAGGATGGAGTTGTAAATAGGAGATAGATGGTGTCTGAGTCCCCCATTTCTGTTCAAAGATGGATTGTTTTTCCCAACAAAAATAGCTTCTTTAACTCCCCTCTCAGTCTAATTCTTTTCTGTGGCTAAGATCTGTACCTCACTGTCCTCAAAAGAGTGGTCCATGGCTTTCAGGTAGAGATTTACAGAAGACTGAGGTCCTGTGTTGCTCTCTCGTCTGTGTTGGTACATCCTCATGCTTCCTGTATTACCACGTGACATCACAAGATGGAACAGAGCGTTTTCCATCTGAGAGAAGAACACAGCCTAAAAGTAAAACATGTGTGAATGAAACAAAAGACAACAAGAAACAACATTATAACAGGTCAGAAAGTAGCGTAATATAAGCAATTGGATAAAGGTGCACTATACAACTTTTCGTCGGAGGATCAGCCTTCCTCATCTCTATGGAGATGTTACTGATTTGTCTGGAACGTTACACGGTATGGCATTAAACTATATTTCCATGGAGATGAGCAGGTGACGCCATCAGCCCAAGTAACAACTCAGAGCTGTAGAAAGGAGAGCCCGCTCACAGTAAGAATACATGTTTTTCCAAGGTATTTCTAAGCAATACAAACACCTGCAGTTGAATAAATGTCAGAGAGGTATGTTTAATGCCGTACTGAGGAACATTACAGGCAAAGCAATAACATCTGCATGCAGACAAGCCACCAGAAAAGTTACATAGTGCACCTTTTAGTCTGCGCTAAGGATTGGTTTCACAAACTATTATAAGATTTAAACTCTGAGTCTGTTACCATCGTTACTGAACTGTGTGAAGATACCCGGGGCAGGAGAACAACAACACTGGGAATTCTGTTTAGTTTAAATGCTGCGTTCATGTCGTCCTACACCGGGCAGTACCAGAAAGACCAAAGAAAAGAGTGAAGGGGAGATGGAGTGGCAGCGTCTGAGGGTATAAAAGAACACTGTGATTGGGCAAACAGGGATCCACACTTCAAACTCTGCCCTCCGTTTGTAATTAAACATCTGGCTGTGATCAGGACAGTCATGCATGATGTCACCAACTACATGAAATGGCCACTGGAGCCAACCCAGAACACACACATTTTTAAATTTTAACCACGAAGCTGCAAATTTACCTAGTTTGTGGTAAAAGTGACAAAAATTGACACAGGAACAATCGATAATTCTATTCAAACTCCGTGTACATAGTGAAGTAGCCACAAAAAGAAAAAGATAAGAAAAAAAATTGCTAGAGTACATTTATGGGTTTACTGCAGGAATCTATAATTAGTTATAGTTAGCAGTTAATAGTAACAGATTTGAACAAGAAAAATACAAATGTAATGTTAAAGTGCATATGACAGGTTTTTATAACTCTCTAATTTTGACTCGGTTTGTTGGGATAATACCTGCTGTAAACATAAATTATAATTTTAAACCAACCAAGAAGGAATTTGTGAAGAAAACTTGAAAAATGTACAAAGTAGAAAGTTCTATAATCTATAATCTACTAATTTCATTCACAAGTTGTGGATAAATTTCACATAAGAAACACATTTCTTTATATTTGCATTTATTTAGGCAAGATAAAGTTGTTTTCTTATATTTTTATTAGTTAAATAATAATTTCTATGTCCATTAGTGGAGTTTTTGATTGGAAGTATGATTTTAAACCTAAAAAACTGCCAAACTGAGCTTTTTTTTTTTTTTCCTTTTTACTTTTTTTTTAAAGTAAAATCTTAAACATAATGATCTTAACTTTAGTGAAACATTTAGTTCAACCTGTCATAATCACGTTAACCAGTCGGCTACATAATACAAATAATGTTTAGCTTTTGAAAAAGGCTAACAAAACAAATCTTACTGTTTCACTTTAATAAACACTAATAATGGGCAGACTCCCGAGAACCCGAGGACCACATGAACGCAGCAAAAGTTCAGATTATCAGTAAATTTCTTTTAACATTTATAAACAAATTGACTATTTAAATGTAGCCTAGAGTCATTTATATTGTATTAATTTATTATTTCAGATTGCAATACTTAAAATGTCTACTTTATAATGTTTATTCAGATTATACAACAGGTTTGTGTGCAATATTCTGCTCTTAGACGGCGGCAGAGAGAAACAGGAGAAATGACAGAATGCATGAAATGGTCAGTGTCGGTCTGTTTTAAGTTTCTGTAATGATTTTACTGACCATCTGCTGAAGTTAAGCAAACTCAGGGGTGTATTCCCATTGTGAGGTTGAACACTACAACTTGGACGTAGCAGTGATCATGGTTATGTTATAGATCTGAATTGTGAAAGTGAAAAAAAAAGTAACACACTCAGATGGCTGATGTTCAAAAGATTTTTTTTTTTAAATAACGGTTTGAAAAAAAGCCTTCATCAGATTATTTTTCATGCTTTGGACCACTAGTCAGGCTGGTGCCACTTTGTGTCTCCGCTCAATTTAATTTCTCTCCACCGACTAGGTCAGGAATTGGAATATACTCAATGGTTTGCATAAAGACCGTGCACCGGCCAATCAGTGAAGAGCTGTGAAGCCATGACTGGGTCCTTTTTGTGGTTCAGCACAATGGATGTAGACAAAGACAGACATTCTGTGTTGGCAACGATTCCCAAGATCGAGGATTTAAAGTCGGAACAAAGAGAATGTTTGGTGAATTTTATTAAGGGGAAAGACGTTATTGCCCTTCTTCCTGTGGGATTTGGCACATTAAATACGTCACGACCAAATAGCAGCGACTGGTTAAATAAAAAAAGTATCCGCCTACAGTCGAGCGAACGAATTCTAATGTTGCGAGGTCAGACGGTTTCCACGAAGTGAAACCAGCTGATGAATGGACCACAGTAGGCATGAAAAATGATCTGATGAAGGGTTTTTTGCTGAAACGTTATCTAAAAAAGCATTTGGACATTGGCCATCTGAGAGTGCTATACATTTTTTCACTTTTATATTGCTTTATATTGTTCCTTGGATTTGCACCTCTACAAGAACTTTGGTGTGCATTTTCTGTTTCATTTGATAGATCTGAATTGTCAAATCAGACGACGGGAGCTCAGTGCGCATATCTGGTTTCAAAAGTTTTACAAATGACGCGGGATGTAACAATAACTGAAATTTCATGGTATCGTATAGTCAAAGTTCTCACAGTAACATCATGGACCATGACAATATACCGAATTACAAGTCTCTTTGATTAAATTAAGAGTTATGGTGCAGCAATAGCTAAAAAAAAGACAGAGGGAACTACATAGACCATGATCCTTTGCTCCATTTCAGTGCAGACTACAAGAAGAAATAACAGTTCTAAGATAACCACAAAATATCGCAATAAATATTGTACCGAGAGATTTGGATATTGTTACATCCCTAATCGTGAGTCTCCCCACCATATCATGAGCTTTCCCACGATATCGCAATAAATATCGTACCGTGATGTTCCTAACGTGATGATATCGTATCGTGAAACTTCGATATCGTTACATCCCTATAAATTACACATTTTTACACGTGGAAACTTGCCATTACCTACCCCACGACTCCTCCAGGCATTTCAAACTCTTCATCCATCCATTTTCTTCCGCTTCTCTGGGGCAGCAGTCTAAGCAGGGATCCCCAGACTTCCCTCACCCCAGACACTTCCTTCAGCTCTTCCAGGAGGCGCCAGAACAGATGCTCCTCAAACTCAAGCACTTAATAATAATTTTAATATTATTTTTGCGAGAAAATTGTGCGCATTTAACTTGAGACCGTTTCCCCTAACGACAGTGCCATCTGTGTGTTTGTTAATATCACTACTAAAGGTGCACTGTGGAACTTTTTTGGTAGAGTCCATCACCTGTTTGACTCTATGTAGATGTTTGTGTTTTCCCTGGAATGTTCTACAGTACGGCATTTAATCTAACTATCTCCACGGAGACAAACAGGCCAGGTTACAGGTCAGATCTGTGGAGAAGTGGGTTGACTCACAGTAAAAATGGATAAATGGAAGATATATTTGTTTAATGCCATGCTGTGGAACATTCGAGGCAAAGCAATGACCCATGACCCAAGCAGATGGCGGACACTCCACGAGAAAAGTTACACAGTACATCTTTAAATTACTCTAGCCAGCCCATTTCAAACCAACCCCTTTCTGGGAGTTTTACAGCTTGTGCATAAAACATGTCTCTTTTTTACAAGCCAATAACAGGGTTCCCATTCTTTTTCACTGACAACATTTCCAAACTTCTCCATGACTTTTTCTAGCGAGGCTGGCGACACCTAGTGCCTCCGCTCAATTTAATTTCTCTCCAGCAACTAGGTCAGGAATCAAAACACACTAGACGGTTCGCAAAAACCCCAGAAGTGCGAGTTTGGGCACCAGCCAATCAGCGAAGACCCATATATTCTGTGTTGTCAACGGTTCCCGAGATCGAGGATTTAAAGTCGGATTTATTGCCCTTCGTCTTGTGGGATTTGGAAAAAGCTTAATACACGACCAAAGAGCAGTGATTGGTTAAATGATAAAAAGTACCTGCCTACCGTCGAGCAAGCGAACACTGCGAGGTGAATCAGGCTAGAATTTTTCATGACCTAAAGTGAATTTTCCGTGACTTTATCGCGCCTACATGTGTAGAACTGATCAGACTTTTAGACCTAAATATTAAATGTTAACTCTTTCCACTCACCTTATGGGTTGGTATTATAATGATTAACATTCTTCTATTAACATTGTCTCTTTTATACAGAAGGCGCAGACGTTCGGAAATAATCATAATAGCCTAATGAGAACTTAACAGAACGCTGTAGTTGCGTGAAAGAGGTACTAAAATTCCATGACTTTTCCAGGCCCGGAAATTGCATATTTAATTTCCATGACTTTTCCAGGATTTCCATGAGCGTGGGAACCCTACAGTAAAAAATGAAAAAGATTATATTGTATTCTGGATGTCTTGGGAGGCAAATAACACCAAATGGCTTTAAGTGAAATTGTCCATAGCATTAAAGGTGCACTGTGTAACTTTCTGGTTGGAGGTTCGTCACCTGATTTGTAACTTCTCTACCTGGAATGTTCCACAGTAAGACATTAAACCGCTCCACCTTACATTTATTCAATTACAGGTGGTTTTATAGCTCAAAAATACCTAGAAAAACAGGGATTCTGACTGCCTCTCAACAAAACTGACCTGTAACTTGGTCTGGTTTAGTTTCCATGAAGATAGAAAGCTTTAATGCCGTACTGCGAAACATTCCAGACGAAGCAAGAACACAGCATTTGACGGACCCTTCGCCGGAAAGTTCCTCAAGGCACCTTCAAATGAAACTGATAATTCTTTATGTAAAATGAGTACTTGTCTCACTCCATGTCGCTATATTTGTACTACTACTACGTGTGTGCCTGTGTGTATCGTGCCCCAGTCTGACTGACAAGCTCTAAATATTGAACTTTTATGCAACCAAAGGATTTTTTCATGTCGATGCTGTTGTCAGTGGATGTGTCCTGCATGGGGGTGACTGCATGAGCGCTTTAAAAGAATGTGCACTTTTGTATGTCTGTTGTTACTCTAGTGTAATGAATTAAAACTACACTTACGGTTATGTTTCAATAGCTATGGATTTTATGTATGGATTTATCACTGTTAAAAGTATGTTGACGTTTTTTTGGTTGCCTAGTTTTTGGATAATAAATGCTGACGTTCTTGAGTCTTATCTTGTGTTTGTCTCATTTTTCTCGTGATCTCGTGAGACAAAATTGCCACAAGATCGTGCACACGTGACAAAAAATATGTTGTGAGACTTTTTTTTGTTTTGTTTTACATTTGGATTGGATAAAAAAGTGTCACTTATTGATGAGTTGGAGCTCTCTAACTATTCCAAAAAGTATTAGAATGGAAACATCTAAAAGAAATCCAGAAAATAAAAAATTATGAGGCCAAAACTGGAAACTGAATCGAGAAATGTTTATATTAGGAATTATGTAAAAATCTCGTCTTGTCTCGTTCATGTCCTTATCTTTTTGATCCAAAGACTCAGAGGTGGGTAGTACTCAGTGACATTTACTTGAGTAACTTTTAAAAGAAACTGTACTTCTCAGAACACTTTTTTAGCAGCATATGTTTAGTAATATTTTTATTGAAGTAACAGTAACCTCTGTACACAAAAAGTACAAAAGTGTAGTAAACCAATGCATTTTATTCAATCAATTCATATAAATAAATACAAAACTAAGTGCAATAGAACCTCAAACTACTGTATTTTGTCACAGTGTATCAAAAAGTGGAATGTCTAGAAGTTATTATTAGCAGTAGTAGTAAAAATAAGAAGCCCCTAGTTACCTGCACAGCGGGGTTTGGTCAGACTGTATTTGTAGTTCTAACACACAGACAAACTACAGTACAGCGTCATTGCTCATGTACATTCTACGCTGAGTCGGTACAGTGGTGTTTTACTGTTGGTCTTGGTGCGTCTCCATGTAGCAGAGGCAGAGCTGGTCCTTCCCCAGGAGGATCAGAGAGTCTCCACTGCTGTGCCAGCTCAGAGACTGCACCTGGAAACTACCTGTCACCAAAAACAGGAAACTATCAGAGCAAACTGCAGAGGTACTGGGTTAGATGAGTGTCAGGTCCAAGGGAGAAAAAAGGGCTAGTTTTAGTCAGGGCTGTAGAAGCACACAGACAGGACCTTATTGACAGGCTCGAGATCGGCCCATTTCTTTGCCCACGGCTTTGTTTCACTCAAAGGAGCATGTAACTGGTGGCACTCCTGTGGGTGCCTCAAACAAGAGTGCACGCTGATGGTGCCAAACGTGAGCAGGTCATGCAGACCTCGCTCCATGTAATGCATCGTTTACATCCCATGTGCACAAAGTGACAAATCCAAAACAAATGTTACCTTCAGCGGGGACTTGCACAGCCACACAGCCTGCCGGGGACCACAGGAAGAGTTTGGTGTTGCCGGTGCACAGGGCGAGGCGCGGCTGTCGGGGGTCCCACTGGAAACAGCGCACGGGGGCCGTCTGCTCCAGGACCGCCACAGAGCTCATCTGCTGCATGTCCCACACCCACACCACACTGGCCATACTGTCTGCACATGAGAAGAAAAACAAAAAAGAGTCACATATAGCAGCTAAAAGTGTGATGAACTAGGATGGATGTGTTTAAGTAATTTTATGCTTTTTTTCTGGTATTTAGTATTTGACTATAATAGATTAGGTCATTATTTTACATTTTGCCCAATGTAAACATTGATTAAAACAGGTCCATTGACTTTCTGTTGAAAACTGCTACTAACTTTCACCACATCAAAACAGAGGATTTTCCTGTTTATGTGCTTACAGCTGAAAAAGTGACCAGAATCTAGGTCTGGGTATCCTTCAGAAGTTGCTGATACGATACATATCTCGTTAAAGTGAGCTTTCGATTTAATACGATTCAATACGATATATTTCAAATCAATTTCATACAGTTCAGTAAAAAAATAAAAGCTAAATCATGGCTGTGATACTAAAAGTCGTTGTTAAACCACTTCTTGTGCAAAGTTCACACAAACATTTTAATCATCAAAACAGTGAAAATGTCAAATGTGTCACATGAACGAGTTTCCTTCCTTCTTTCCTTCTGAACAAGCAACAAAATTGTAGTACTGTTACAAAATAATTTAATAAAATATACCAAAAACGACTCTTGCCAATATATATGTAAACAGCAGCTCACAGTATTAAACGACATGATATATCGATATTTCAATATTTTTGCACACCCCTACTGGAGTCAGTAATATTTTCTTCATTATTGCTATTACATACAAAGAAGTGGGCAGAGACAGGAGGTTGGAGACACAGAAATATTAAAATATGTCTCCTAACAGAATGATTGGGATGTTGGACACTTATAATAATTAATATCAGTTTTATGAGGCTGCTGGTATAATACAGAAAAGCTGTGAATCACAGTATTTCTACAGACTGGCAGATTGTAGCACTGGGATTCAACGCCAGCCTCTGGGTTGGTGAGTGGCTCATTGCTAAAGGGGACCATCCCAGAGGGGTTTAGTCTGCCCCAGCTGCATTTACCGTTTTTCGTGGCCAGGTAGCGGCTGTCGGAGCTGAATGCCAGACTGGAGATGCCGATCTTAGGGTTGGCGCGCTCTGGGTCGGGTTTAACCACAGGGAGATGGACCGGCATAGGAGAGATCTCATCTGCAGAGGGCAACAGTGGTGAGCATCAAGCAGATGATCACTCTAAGATCACTCTAAGATCACTCTAAGATCACTCTAAATACAACTTTGAATGGTTAAACAATAAGATGAAACTCTTAAAAGTAATGTATATGTCTCAGTTAGGTTAACAGAAAATCGTTCATACATTTGCTCTGCGTGCTGAAGAGAGTGGAGCCCATGGAGATGCTGTGGATGGACAGGTCTTCACTCACTGTCGGCCGTCTCTCCACCTCCTTATACATAACCTTCAGACCAAAAAAGCATTCATCTAAATACAAATGTACAAGCTAAAACTATGACAAGGGAAAGAAACAGTGTTTGTGTTTGTACTTACAGCTTTTGTGTTGTTGATCGTCGAAGGATGCTCGAACTGTGCAATTTTCCTCCACGTGATGTGATTAAGGATTCGTACCTGAGACAAGCAAATAAAAAAAAAAAAAAAAAAAACACAAATTAAATAGATATTTGTGGGACCTTTATTATAAATATTTTGGGGCATAAAATGTGCGTCCTTTCCCTATACTTTAATATATAAATCGATATTTGCGGATACAGATTTTTAGCTTTTAAAATCCATAGCAAGGCCCACAACTTTATTTTAAGTTGAAGTAAAAAGTAAAAATCACTAATTAACCTTTCACTTTAGTAACAAAAAGTGTGCAATGTGCATGTTTGTGTAACATACTGCCATTTAACGCTCCTCTACTTCCATTTTGACTCATGAGTCTGTTCAAAAACGGCACCCAGATAAAAAAAAATAAAAATCTGTACGGAATATCGGTATCGAATGAGGATATCGACTAATACACAGAATCAGTATCACACTGGCTGATAACGATTCTGGAACCAATATATATCACCCATTCCTAATTTAAAGAAATAAGAAATATGTTTTGTCGCTGAGCGCATTCGCACTTGCACACACAACACATCAAAATTGGGACTAAATCCACAACTAAACCAGGACTGGAACAGGACCAAATAGAGTTTACATCAGGACTAAACCAGAACAACAGTGAATGCGGCCTTACCTTCTCATCATAGCTGCCGATGGCCAGGAATTGGCTGCTGGGGCTCCAGGACACAGACTTGATCCCCAGAGACCACTCGTACGCACTGTAGGTCGACAGAAGGCGCCCATCCAGAGAGTACAGCAACACCCTATACTGAGGGAGGAAGAGCATGAGGAAAATGGAAGGGGGGGTATTTCATCAATTAACAATTATTTGGAATGACTGTCTAATGACTGGACTGTGTTTAGTAGTAAAGATAAATAGAAAAGCAGTTAACTGGGCAAGATTTTGAGATGTTTCAACTTTCATCCAAAACCTTTCTATTCTGAAGCAACCATTTGATTTGAGTAGACATTTTTGGGCAGAAAAAAAATAGACTTGCAAAGAAGTAATTTTGTTAAATCAGTTTGTGACTCCTACTTTCTTTAGAGTGTAAATTTGAGCTTAAATGGAGTGATTAAAATTAGGGATGGGACAAGACAAGAGAAGATTTTGTCATATTTTATAATAAATGATTTGGTTTGGTTCAGAATTGTGGCCTCATCAGTTCTGAATGACTTATACTAATATTTTTGTTCATTGTAGCACTGTTTTTTTTCCACAACTTGCTGTGACTTAACACTTTTTTGTCCAGTTCAAATGTAAACACATGGGGAAAAAAATCTCACAAGATCATTTTTGTCATGTACACACAGTCTTGTCATAATTCAGATCTTGTCCCATACTTAAAACCCAATGAAACCTTTAATTTGCTCAATGCAGCTTCTAAATTAAACAATCAGTATATTTCCTGATGCTTTTACAAACCTCTAGACAGCTCTCCCACACTGCCAGCACACAGCCATTCGGGGACCACTCCACTCCAGCCAGGTCCTGAGTTTCTGTCTCAAAGTGCTGAAAAAGACCAGATGAACATTTGCAATCATAGTATCTGAAATATTTAAGATGGAAAAGCTAACTTACACAACAAACATTCAACGAGACACATTGTATTGTACAGAAGTTTTAGTAATTCTCCATTTTAACTTAATGTTTTTCTTTCTTTTCTAACCCTTTCATGCATGTGCAGTAAAATGGAGAGATATTATATTTGAACTGGAAGAAATCTGAATGATATTTGTTCTTTCCAAATAAAAATAAAATGGGGGAGAAAAAAAAAGAAAATTTCCACTCAGCAGCACTGTCACTTGATTTGCACAGATCAGACATGTGTGATTAACAGGTGTAGAGGTTTCAGTATCCAAGAATGGCCAATACTGTAAAAGTTGTGTTTAAAAAGGTAATAAAATAATTAAACGTACCCTTAGTAAATGCCAGTCGTCACACACAAAGATGCTGATGTGGTCTTTGCAGTCTCGGCGTTCAGCCAGGGCCATGTAGCAGCCATCTCTGCTGAAGTCCAGAGCTGTCGGAGAGATCAGAGCAGGCTACAGTCAACCAGTGTGAAACACAAACCATCCACTCACAACACAAGGTACAACAGCTGAGCACTGTCTAAATAAACCTGTACTGTTTCTGACTATGGGGATATGATACTAGCTGCAAGTTAATGGTGCAAGAAAGGATGGTGTATGTAATCGTCAGAGTGTTTTTATTTACAGGTACACCGTAACTTGAGCCACTTGAGACACCTTGTTTTCGCAGTACAACTTTAGTTAGACTTAGGTAGGGCTCCTTAGTTTAGTAGTTTTGTTTGTTTTGTCCTTAGCTTCAGGATAGATTTTAAAGTTCTTTTATTGGTTTATAAAGTTCTTAATGGTCTTAGTCCTATTTATTTATCTGATCTGCGTTTATCATATGAGCCTCTCGGACTCTCAGGTAGTCATCTTTTAACTGTCCCAAGAGTCCAAACTAAAACTCAAGGTGAGGCATCATTCAGCTTTTACGGCCCATGTCTGTGGAACAGTGTGCCTGAGGATCTGAGGTCCACTGCGAGTGTTCATATTTTTAAAAGTAAACTCAAAACATATCTTTTTAATTTAGCTCATTACTATTTTACTTAGTCTCTTTACTTAGTCTCCATCTGATCTTAGCTCTCCATTTTCATTTTTACTATAACTTTTAAGAGCTTTATATTTATGTTTTATGTTTCTGTTTAAATTGTTGTATATATGGGGGGTTAATTAATTTATTGTAATTTTTCTGTTGCATGTGAAGCACTTTGTGCTACATTTCAAAAGTATGAAAAGTGCTATACAAATAAAGTTTGACTGATTGATTTATTTATAGTTTAGACTATTTTGTTTAAATCCTTTTTATTTTCATCACAACTTTCTGTGTTTTTTCCTTTTCCTACACTGTAAATAATAAATCCACAATTTTTTGTTAAACCTTAAACATCTTGTTTTTTTATTGCTACTTCCCTTTCTCCCATAGCAAAGGGAACGTAACATGCTGTCACCTATTTGTCTCCAGTTTATTGAAGTTTATTGCCATGCCTGTACAATGCCTCAGTCGTCCAGGTAGAATCCATGGCAAAAGAAGAAATTCAATTTCTCAACTGGACAAAAGTTTATTTAGCCGAATATGTTTCGCAGCTCATCCAAACTGCTTCTTCAGTTCTGCTCAGATGCTGGTGGACACTGCCTTTATTGCCATGTCATTCCAGACACGGCAATAAAAACCTCTCAAAATGACCTAACAAAATGTCTCATCCATGAAATTAAAATTGATAGCCTTTAATTTTCTTTTTAATAATTATAAAAAGAGTCTTTAACCAAAAGTTGATAACATTATAACATTAACAATATCAATATATATATTGTTTGACCAAAAATGTATTTATTTATTTTTTAAATAAGAAGAAAAAAAAAAAGAAACAAAACTGATCTTGACAAGTTCATCCAGCCCCACCATGAATCAAACTTGTTGGGGTCAGAAGGTCCACAAAACCTACTTACACGCTACCTACCTCGTAACAGATTTTACTAGCTTCCATTATTTTGGGAGGCCTCTGCATGTAATCAAATACCTCCACATAACAGCAAATGGCCGGTACAATGACACGCCCAAAGCTCCGGTGCTATGTCCCCATCAGGGCCACATTATTTCTATGGGCATTCTTGTCTGGCCTCGTTGCATGTGGAAAACGGGGAGAGTGGTGGACAATCATTTTTCCTGCACTTGCTGACAGCTCTGTTATGAAGGGCATGTCCCATTTACTGAGGAGGGCAGCAGCTGTCAGCGAGGGAGCCTGGTTCAGCGCATGCCCGGCCCCAGCCTGAAGGTAAAGAACGGCATGTGATTCTGACTGTAATGGTGTCCTCAGGTGCTCCTCGGTGTGATGTGAGGAGAACGTTTGATTATAAGGAAGAAGAGATTGTCCTTTTTTGTCTTTTGCTTTTGTCACACCACCTGAAGGACTCTTTGGAAACCTTCTCCATAGAGATCAGGGCTGACAGGTATTGCCAGTACATCACGATGCAAGACGAATCCCGATACTGGGTCCACGGTTTGATACATACACTATATTGCGAAAAGTATTCACTCACCTGCCTTGACTCGCATATGAACTTAAGTGACATCCCATTCTTAAGTCATATGGTTTAATATGACGTCGGTCCACCCTTGGCAGCTATAACAGCTTCAACTCTTCTGGGAACGCTGTCCACAAAGTTGAGTAGTGTGTTTATGGGAATTTTGACCACACTTCCAGAAGAGCACTTGTGAAGTCACACACTGGTGTTGGGAGAGAAGGCCTGGCTCTCAGTCAATCTAAACTCTAATTCATCCCAAAGGTGTTCTGTCAGGTTGAGGTTAGGACTCTGTGCAGGCCAGTCAAGTTCAACCACACCAAACTCCCTCATCTATGTCTTTATGGGCCTTGCTTTGATGCAGAGTCATGCTGGAAGAGAAAGGGGCCATCTCCAAGCTGTTCCCACAAAGTCTGGAGCATGGAATTGTCAAAAATATCTTGCTGAAGCATTCAGAGTTCCTTTCACTGGATCTTCACTGGAGCTCCTGACAAACAAACCCACACCATAATCCCCCCCCTCCACCGAACTTTACACTTGGCACAATGCAGTCAGACAAGTACTGTTCTCCTGGCAACAACCAAATCCAGACTCGTCCATCAAATTGGCAGATGGAGAAACGTGATTTGTCACTCCAGAAAAAACATCTCCACTGTTCTAAAGTGCAGTGGCGGCGTGCAGTGATGTACACTGCATCCGACGCTTTACATTGCACTTGGTGATGTGTGGCTTGGATGCAGCTGCTCGACCACGGAAACTCATTCCATAACACTCTCAACGCACTGTTCTTAAGTTATCTGAAGGCCACATGAAGTTTGGAGGTCTGTAGCGATTGACTCGGCAGACAGTTGGCAACCTCCGTGCACTATGTGCTTCAGCATCCTCATCCATATTTAGGAGTGAGGAAATTTCACGACTGGACTTGTTGCACAGGTGGCATCCTATCACAGTACCACGCTGGAATTCACTGCACTCTTAAGAGCGACCCATTTTGATCATTTTGAGCGACCAACAAATGTTTGTAGAAACAGTCTGCATGCTGAGGTGTTTGATTTTATCCACGTGTGGCCATGGAAGTGATTGGAACACCTAATTTCGATGATTTGGATGGGTGAGTGAATACTTTTGGCAATCTAATGTATCTCAATACTCGTAGTTTGATATATTACATGTCCCTATATATGGATAAAACAAAAAAGTTACTAAATTGATGTTTGGATTATGTTGAATAAAAAAAAATGTATTGGACTTTCGTGTTGACAATATCCTAGAAACGTATCTGAAGTAGTGGGCCACGGACCGGTGGTCACTACATCGAGTCTTTCAGAATGGTGCATTTGAGCTACTGTACCTTTAATAAAGGCTTGAAACACAAATTTGAGGTCTGCTGAACAATGCGTGAATATGTTATTGAGGTTATAGCCACAGAACTACTTAAATTTGCAGTAAAAAGTACTGCATGTCATAATTTGGGCCAACTGAGCAGGCTTGAGGGCCAACAACATATGGTATTTGGCAACATGGATTCAGAAATGACTTAAATGTCCAAGAGAGGGAAGAATGTCTTTCTGAGATTGTATGTTTCCAAGTAAAAAACAAATAAGTAAATAAAAAATAATGAATGACAGCAAATCGGATAGGAAAAGTGGGTAGAGATGGTAGAAACAAAGTATTTCAGTTCACCAATGGACAAAAACAAGATTAAGATTATGAAGAAAAAAAAAAAACAAGTATTTTTTTGAAGAGGGAACAACTTATTCATGTAACTAAATCATGACACTGTCCCTTTAATTTGCATTTACCTTTTTGACAGGCTTTGGGATATTTGATGTAAGACACAGCTTTGGTGCACAGCGACCACACGGTGATTCTGAGCTGTGGGAAGAAAAGACATAAGAAATTATACGTTGCAAATTCACGTCTCTTGCACTTTTCAAGATGCAAATCACTTATTTTCATTCCAAAGATATTCCTTTGCTAGATTTTTAAACCTGTATTTGTAAGATTAAGAATATTTCTACAAACACACATAACAGCCTGCTCTGATTGGCTCTGAGTTAAGTTTTAGAAATGCAAACTGTATACTGTACACATTTTCAGAACTCTTTCCACCACTGGTCAATATGGAGAAAGAAATAGATCGCACAAAATTCTCCTTTCACTTCAGTGTAGTTAATTATAGATAATATCAGATCCTGCCATGCACTTGGACGCCCATAAGCTGTGTTGTCTGTAAAGCACTGGTCTCCCCTGGTTATAAGCCCTTCCAAGCTCCACAGACTTTGAGCCAGACATCAGTTTATATAAGAGCTATTTGTTTGCTAACGGTTGTTGCATATGGTGTCTGGGTGTCAACAACAGCCTTTTAATTAGACCATTACTGAGGCAGGCCCGGAGTCCTCACAGGGCCGCAGTGATCCTGGGGGCTCCAACATTTGTCTCTCATCCGCAGCTTAACACTCAGAACAGCCCACTTATCATCGGGGGGTGAGCTGGCAGAACAAATGAGCGCACAGGCTACTAAATGTTTCAGACTGCAACAATAATGTAAAAAGTGGATAAAGCATGTCCAACAATATTTAATCTGGATTCAAATTATTTATCTCACTATTCGGTCACTCAAATAAAACAATTGGTATTTGCATCAGTTAAAAAAAAAAACAACATTCCAAAAAGAACTCAATGCCAATATATCATCAATACCTGCTTTTTGTTCAGTGCCTTTTTTTTTTTTTTCATGGAAAACAATGCAAGCAAAGACGCACAGCTGATGTGGACTGACATGTGCTTAAGTTTCAACTTTTGCTTGTCTAAACGGCCCTTTATAAAATCCAAATATGTTTCTCAGTCTTGCTTTTGCCAAATTGTTGGTGGTCAACCAAGAACATAGAGAAAAATCCCGCACACCGTCTTACTTGCAAATTGTGAAATTTATTAGGACAAACTGTGCAACGTTTCAGCACTAGGCCTTCGTCAGGCAAACCAGACAGGCCTAGTGCCGAAACGTTGGACGGTTTGTCCTAATAAATTTCACAATTTGCAAGTAAGACGGTGTGCGGGATTTTTCTCTATGTTCTTGGGCTTCTCCCTCTCCTCCAACGCACCCATCTCTAGTAACTGATGTGCGAGGCTCTCATTCTTTCATATCGGTGGTCAAATAAGAAAATTTCTTTGGAAGGTTGATATGTAACCATTTACTTACAGTATGTCGCTCAAATGCATAGTTCTATACAATGACTCTGCATACAATAGAAAAAAAGGTTATGGTATACTTTGTTAACCTCTCGTGAGGGAAATTGTCCTCTGCATTTGTAACCTGGCAGGAGCAGTGAGACACTGTAGTACAGCACTCGGGGAACCATCTTCAGATCCTGAGCTTGGCTTGGTCTTAACCAGATTGCCTGCCAAACTCTGCACATAAAGGCCTGTCTGAGCCAGGGGTCTCATTTATAAAACATGCATATGTATGTACAAAAATGTTACATACATGATTTTCCATGTTATGATTGTGATCAATCAATACAAGTTTACATAGAAAGAAGTGATACAGTCCAAGAACTTTGCACACTGGGGCATTAAGAGGAGGCAGAAAATGGTGATGTGCTAAGAAAGATGAGAATTGAGCCAGTTTTAGGACACCTGAGAAAGTGTGTGTTTTGTCCATACATACACTTAATAAGTAAAACTCATGTCCATTTTTATAAATGAGACCCCAGTTTGATCCATAACCTGAAGTGAGTGTTAGCTTGAAAAGCATATAGTCCTGGATCCCCAGTCAACAATCTGGCATTGGCTGTTCAAGAAGAGCAAATTTATGAGGTTTGATTTTGAGCAGTTAAATTTATGGGTAGATCAGTTATGCCCCTTAAATATTCCAACAATTTTCAACACATGAGAAGAGACCCTCTACGCTGCTTAGAGTTTTTAAATTCAATGCAGTCATTCCCTTGCCTCACGACAGTCACAGACTGTAGCTGTATCTGTGCCCATGTGTACATGCCCTCCTCATTCCTTGTATATTGAATACAGGAATGCGCCGCTATAAATCTTCCCGGTGACAAAGCTTTCATCGTGCAGCTCGGCCGGACACCTGAGCTGGGCCTGTGTCTCTGCCCTCGCAGCCCTGAAGTGTGGCCCCAGTATCTGCCCCACACCTCCAGCTGTGCGCCCACTCTGGTACCCCCTCTCCGCACGCTTACCCCAACTAATCTCCATAGCAACAGGCCATAATACAAACACACTTCTGAGATGCCTTGAAGCTTGCGCATAGGGGAAGCACCGAGAGGCCGGCCCAAAAGGCAACGTAACTTTAAACCAAGCCAAGAAAGAGGAGGGGTAGTTGAGGAAAATAGGTGGGAAATGCTTTTCCACATGCAGCGCTGTGCAGTGAGATCTTGAGCGGTAAAGCGACACGTACGATGAGGTTTCTGCGCTGAAGGTGAGGTGCAGCTCTGGTGATTGGCCATAGGCGTCAGAGCACGTGTCAGAATTCAAGACCCGCTCCTCAAAACAGCTGCTGTTTATCTATTCAAGATGGAAGAAATGATGCCTTTACAAAGGGCAAAATTACTGGTTCTTGTTTTGTGAGCTGCTGTATCCATAAAGTTCAATGGATTCAAATGGTTTTAAAGATAACAATAGGGCCAATAAAGACTTACAATTTGATTTCTTACTTTATGCATTATTCCAATTATGTAGTATATTCCAACAGATTAAAAAAAAAGTGTTGTTTATTGTCCAACACCACAAGTACCTCCAAGTTGTTCCGCATCGTCATAGGTAAGCCACAAAGATCAAAGCTGTACTCTCTTGTACCATTCCTGGGGGCCTAAAGACCATGTGTGTTTCAGGAGCAGATGCAGAGGATCCCCTGACCACTGATGTCCTGTGGGACATCAGTGGGAACCCTTAAAAAAGCCCAAAAATTCAAATACGGACATAGTACAAACTTTCTCAAACTCTCTTTTGAACCAGATCACTCATTTCCACGTCAAGTTTTTATAGATCGCAAACTTAATGGGTAAAGTCAAGTCATTTTTGTATGTACACATTTTTTTTAAATGAGACCCCTGGACTGTCAAATAAGGACAACATACCAAGCTACGAAACTGAATACTACTAACAGACTCTTGAGGACGAAAGGAAAGAACCAACGAGCCCCCAGTGCAGCAGATGGAAAGCGGGAAGACAATAAAAACATTTCATCAAACTTAGAGAAGTGCCAGATCTACACCAAATTATGAAAATCTGAAAGGATAGGTTCAGTATAGAATTAGTTCTGGGTTAAACCTGGTTTAATCCTCAGATGGATAGATGGATTGATAGGATACTTTATTGATCCCGAAGGAAATTCAAAGTTTTCTTTGGGATCATAGAAACAGACATAGCAACATAGAAAAGATATTTAAAGTCAGCAGGTTAGTCATGGGTTAGCTAGTTTAATTTTCATGGTGAAGAAGTGATGTTTCTTTGGTGTATTTGATGTATTTAGTCAAAACGGTAGGACTTGATTATTTATTGAAGGGGGTTTCAAGTTAGCCTGATTCATCAGCCAGTTTTACTTAATTTCACTTCATACAAACCGTCTGACCTCACAGCCTTAGATTTCGTTCACTCAATGGTAGGTGGGTACTTTTAACATTTAACCAATCGCTGCTATTTGGTCGTGACATATGTAATACATTGCTAACGAGGCTAACTGGTATATTAAGCTTTTCCCAAATCCCGTAGGAAGAAGGGCAATAACATCTTTCCCCTTGATGAAATTCACCAAACATTCTCTTTATTCCGGCTTTAAATCCTCAATCTTGGGAATCGTTGACAGCATTGAATATATGGCTCTTCACTGATTGGCTGGTGCCTGAACTTGCAATTCCGGGGTTTTTTGCGAACTGTCTATTGTATTTTGATTCCTGACCTAGTTGCTGGAGAGAAATGAAATTGAGCGGAGGCACTAGGTGGTGCCACCCTTGCTAGTTTCAAGTAGCTCCATAAAAGAAATTAAGAATTATACATATTATGCTGATTCAAATTCAAATTTGATATTCACATTCCTATTAACATTATTATACTTTAGTCTGACTGTGAGCACTAATCAGTGGATAATAGTTTATGTTTAATAGACATCTAACTGTATGCAAGTCAGTGTTGTATCAACTTAACTTCTTGATAATGGGAGTAGCAAGAATTTAGGTTTGTTAAAGTATCTCTCCATGGGGAAAAAGATGGAAACCCCTGGTGTAGGGAATTTGAGCTCTGAAACGATCAGAACAAGCCCAGGGAATGTGTGGACTTTTAAAATGCACAGGAGAACTTCTTGAGGAGGAGACAGGTTGAATACACAAAATGACTCAATCATATGTGCAAAAATATAAGTATACTATAGGCCATATATTGTATATGATGGAAGAACATATTTAAAAGCTCTAAACTCAAATTCAATTGACTTGAATATGAACCAATTCCTGTTGATTGCAACGAGTAATGAGATTCTTATAGTTGCCACAATACCAAAATGACGTTGGTACAAGCAACTACTGCACTATGTCCAGTTCATTTATTTAATAAAGTGACAAACAAGTATTTATAAAACAGTCATGTGTGAAATCTTGCAATCAGAGCTGGCCACATGCGACAAGAGTTTTGTTACTGAAAAGCCCCGGCTACCAGTCATTCTTGCAGCTCTTACTGAGTGCGTCCAATGCCATATAGACCAGTCTGTCAACGCGGGATTAAACCGTGGGCATTCTTCATACAAAGCCACGTCCAACCGATATAGCTTTATTCTCTTGTTACAGCCGGCCATACTGCCTTGGGAACCAGATCTGGATGCAGGCGTATACCATTGTCCTGCCATCTTCAGTTATAGCATTGGA